TGAGTGATCGCTGGGTCTTTCGAACCACCCGAACCACCCCTGGCTGCATGTGAATGTTGCTGATGTAATTGTAATAGATGTTTTAATTTAATTTTTATGTTAAAATAATTTTAAATGGAATCATCCTTGATTTCATTTGTCTGTGTTCATAGCAGACCTAAAGTATGATCATTGTATTCCTGCAACATAATAAATGTCTAAATCTTTAACAGCAATAATTCATACTCAAATCACTTTCATACTGTTTTTTTAATAATCATGTTGCAATGTTGGATAGTTAAGGAGATCAATTCAGTGATTCAACTTTTAAGACAAACACAATGGACTGTATTTTAATGATCTAGGCGCAATGTTTAAATTGCAACAAAATAAAATATAATTATACTTTCTGTAACATTTTAATCTTTTAAATGTTTTTAAAAGCCTCGGCTGGGACAGTTGGCATTTCCAGCCTGATCTCACAAGAAAACATAAATATTTGAATTTCTTTTTCAGTTTAGTGGATAATTCAAGCTATGAAAATATACGATTTAAAAAAGGAGGCATTGCACCCAACCCCACCCCTAAACCCAACCATCAATGGGTGATGAGCAAATCGTACTACATTGTACAAATTAGATCATTCGAATTCATACGAATTAGTCACTAAACCAAAATGTTACGAATTGTCGTCAGATTGCGTTGGCATTTCTGTGTGGAGTCTGCATGTTCTTCCTGTGTTGGGATGGGTTTCCCCCACAGTCCAAACATATGAGCTAAACTGTAGGTAAATTGGGTAAACTAAAGTATACCTCTACGTAAAACATATTTTGGAATAGTTAGTGGTTCATTAGTGGTCGCTGTGGCGACCCCTGATAATCAGGGACTAAGCCGAAGGAAACTGAATAAATGAATGAACAACGTAGCGCAAAATGTAAAAATTACTGTTGCGCTGGTCTGAAAATAGCAACAAATCACGCCATACACATCTTGCAGCTTATTGCGCCTGGTGTATGTATAGGGCCCAATGAGTGAGAGGAATAATATCACTCATTTTCTTGGTAGCTTAGTCCCTTTAATAATCCGGGTTCGCCACAACTTATCCAGCAAGTTTTTACCCAGCGGATGCCCTTTCCCATCTCTGGGAAACATCTACACACACATTCACACACACTCATACACTACGGACAATTTAGCCTACCCAATTCACCTGTATCACATGTCTTTGGACTGTGGGGGAAACCGGAGCACCCGGAGGAAACCATGCGAACGCAGGGAGAACATGCAAACTCCACACAGAAACGCCAACTAAGCCGAGGCGCGAACCAGCGACCCATCGACCTTCTTGCTGTGAGGCAACAGCACTACCTACTGCACCACTGCTTCGCCCAATATCAATATTACACTATACATTTTTGATTCTGCTTGTATTTGTTTTGCCACCATCAATATTAAAAAAAAGAGGCAAACAAGAACATGCATTCAACTCACTTTATCTCATGCTACTTGTGGCATATTTGCTGTCTAAACACTTCACTATACATAGTTTAAATTTGCCATAACCTATACAATTATAAATACATCACAGTTTTAGCTTGGGACTGTAGAAAAACAGAACATATTTTATTAATCTGAACAGTACTGCATGAAACTGTTATGAAAGCTCTATCATTCAACTTTAGTATAACAAAAAACAGCAGCACTCTTACACTTCTTACAATTTATTAATCCAAAGAACAATTCATTTGAAAGCCTGTATCTTGTTACATAAATAAATACAATCATAAATCTGAAATAAACACCTAGGTTGAACACTGCAGGAAGCAATTGTAACATAACATCACTCAAGCCTCTTTAACGAAACATCCATGAGATATAATGACTGACACAAGTGTGTTAACATAAGACATATTTCAAACACAGATTCTTCTGACTGTATCGTATGTGAAATAACTTTGCATCATTTTTGGTTTTAAGCATGTGCAGTTTTAAGTACAAGTCTGTATTTGTGGATATCAGACTTTTTGAATTGCATTTGTGAACTTATTTTTAACACACTACACATCCATCAGTGATGGAAATAAATACCAGATAGAAGGAAGATGTTCTCTCACAAAACATTGTTCCCTTAAAGGACAATTTTAATTAGCTTGCAAAACCACTGAATTTAAGTTTTTCAGCCAAAACCATAATTTCCATCACCAGAAATAAGAGAATGCAAAAAGAATCCATTAGTTAATGTATTTCAAAAATGAACAATATATTTATTTCAGTATTTATTCATCTTTGTTAATATTATTTGATCACAATAAATATCTTGTTGGTAAATTTAACTCACAGTGCATTAATTAATGTTATCAAGCACCATTTTATATTTTAATAACACATCAATAAATGTTAAACAACAATTAATAAATGCCCCACAAGTATTGTTCATCATAATTCATGTTAGTAAATGCATTAATTAACATAAACTAATGAAACCTTATTGTAAAGTGTGACCAGGTTTGGTTTTGTTGGGGGAAAATAAACAGATTTTGTAAAGAAATTCTGAGGGTTTGTCAGTGAATAAAACAACAGTCTGATCTCTCGAGGAAACGTGACTATTTTACGTTTTGTCAGTTTAGTGGCTAATTCGTACAAATTCATAACGAGTTCAGTCGTACAAACATGCTCGATTTTTAAAAGACGAAGTGGAACCCAACCCCCACCCCTAAACTTAACCATCATCAGGGGATAAGCAAATCATACTAAATTGTATGAATTAGATGGGACAAATTCATAAGCCACTGAATCAAAAAGTTGCAAATTGCCGGAGACAGCACTGAAAAAAAAAATCAAGGTATTTCTATTATTGGCTTTGTGTTTATTCACAAAACACAATGAAACATAACATGAATAAAAAAAGAAAATGTTTAAATCAAAAAATATGTAATCATAAAACCTAATTTTTTCAACATTGTAGCATTCCTATAAAATATTTTTGATTTAAAATAAATAAAATAAATGAAAGGAAACATGTCTTGGTGAAAACAAAACAAAAATGTAAAAAAAAAACTTTTGCAAGCAAATGCAAATTTCCTCAAGAGAATGCAAAAGTTTTGCAAGTTGAAAATAAAAGAACTGCGGTTTAGTTTTCATATCTATATATCTTAGCATTTCCATCATGAAAAACATGATTTTATTGTTTCAAGTAAATGATTTGTGATTTGTGAACAAATGGAAAAGCATTAGAAAAAAATGTTTGTTCCCATCTCATTTTACTATTTCCTAAAGACTTACATTTATTATTTACATTTTACTATGAACTGTTATTTCCACAACATCCAGCCAGTCCAATACTTCATATCGCTGATTTGTTGTGAGGGGGGTTTGCGGCAAAGAAAATCTTAAATAAACTGAGAATTACCTGACACTGCTTTTCTGCTTCCCAAAAAAAGTAAGCTCAATAATGTCATACCCTACAAACCTTCAACAAGAGTACAGTAATAACCAACAAATAAGTGGAATGTTAATGATTGCTTTTAAATTATTGCATGCCTATTTCGTATTGTAAGTGCATAATGTAAACTTACTTAAAGATCCTGATCCATAGGCCTCCCACATATGTTCACTTATATGGCATGCAGATTAGTGCAAAATGACTTATTTACAAAGGCTTACACGCAAACAACCTTTAAACTCACATTAGGCAGCTTTTCCTCAAAAACACACATTTGCGGCTTCATGTTTTAGTGCATGATCACGAATGCTACAAGTGTACAGAAATGGAATTGATATGGCACCGTGCAAATGTTTAAATGTGCAACACATAAACCAGGATCAAAGCAGCTTTAAACCTAATGGCCAGCTGGTGATGCTTTCGTTTGTAGGCATTACATGATATACACGGTCGACACTTTGGGATCAATTTGATTTGTTTTTATACATTTTACTCAACAAGCCTGCATGTATTTGATTAAAAATAAACTTAAAATTGTGAAACATTACAATTTAAATTCACTGAATTCTTATTGAATCTATAATATAGCCGTTTTCTGTCATTCAAAAAAAATATTTTAACATTATTTCATTTCAACTTTGAGATTTTCTGATCGGTTATGCTCAATTATTATTGGTACAGTCATTATTATTAAAACTGATGACTTTAATAATTATAAATTACCTGCTTCATAGTTTTGAAACTGATACATTTCACTTATTATAGTACTTTAATTAAACAAAAGTTTCAAAAACATTGTTTAATTCTGTACTTTAACTCTTGAACCATTTAATGTGTCGATGATGAAAAAAAAGTAAATACATTTACCATTGTATTGCACTGTACAACAGTTTTTCCATATTTTAAGCACTGTTTTCAACCAAAATAAGCTCATTCGGAAATTGTAACCCTATATACATACCAGAAGTACATATGGCTGCATTTTATCTTTAAAACGAACACTAGGGGGCGGTATATTTGTACTTACCAGTTAACTTCTCACCTCCGTATGGACGGTTTTCCTGCTGTTACCAGTTTGTTCAGTTAGTTTGCCATGTATGTTGGCGAACTTGAGACGCAGAGAGGAGTTGACCATGAGGACGGGGTTCGAGTGAAAGCAGTTTCAGAAAGCGGGTAAGACTAAAACAGAAGCCAAAAAATGAAATAAACAAGTAAATAACAGTGTCAGAACAGGGTAAAATCTGAAAACGTGGTAAAAATCAGACGAGGGCTTTTCTTTTTCTGGATTGCTTTTTAAAACGGTTGGATTCAGGGAAGTGGTTGGTGGGTCAATCGGTGCTTTTGAAAACACTATTGGCTGGGTTTAGGGAGGGTGGGTCAGTCGATCGGTCAGTCATTCAGTCGACACCGGCCTTTGGTGGATTTACGTGAAAACAGCAGGCACGAATGGCACTCGTGAGAGAAATGTCAGATCTCAAAAAGCATACACAGCGGCCTCTGGTGGATTCGCCAAAACAAAAACTGCAAAAAAAAAAAACATTATTTGGTGCTCTCCAGAAATGTAAATAGAGGTACTTTTCAGAATGAGCCTGTGTTGTTTCCAACACCGATAATAATATTATTAACTAATAATAACTAGTAACCAGTAGTAGGTACTAAAATAATAATAATATTAATTTCATGAGCAGCAGATCATCATATTAGAAAAATTTCTGAAGGACCCTGTGATGCTGAAGATTAGAGTAACGATTCAGAAAATTCAGCTTTAAATCAAACAATTTTAAATTAATTCAATATGAAAATAGTTGTTTGAAATTGTAATCACATTTCACAAGTTTATTGTATTTTTAATTAAATAAATGAAGCCTAAATTATAAATAATAAAATAAAAATCTTACTATTTCCCAATTTTTGACTGATACTATATAAATATATGTTGACAATGTGGTAAGTGGTTTTAACATCAACACTGATATCACGCTTCAGCAGGGCTGTGTGTGACTTTCTCAATCCACTTCAGAAAGCGTCCGACCCGTGTATATACACCTGGATATGAAGGGTCACCACAGCCGTGACCCCAGGAGATGACACCCGTGAGCATCCAGTGCCCACCGTCCCCTTGGCACACCAGCGGACCCCCACTGTCACCCTGACAGCTGTCCACACGCCGATGGTTGGACAAGCTGCCAGCACACAACATGCGGCTGGTGAAACGACTGCCGTAACGCTTTTTACACTTCCAGGAGGGCAGCAGAGGTACCCAAGCTTGCAGAAGAGTTCTGGAATACTCGGAGTCTAAGACAAGATAGAAGGAAAAAAAAACGTAAGTATTTCTTTTTTTTAAATAAAATATTTTTTAAGTGGTATTCTTAAATTATTTGTAATTGTATTTATTTTCAGCTGCCCAAAGCTTAAATAAAAAGCAAAGATTTATGAGAACTTAAAGGCTACAGTGCTTCATCTTTTCTTCGTGAATTTCTCACTAAAAACTGGACAAAAGGTGGATTGGATTACTTGTTTGGGAAAATTAATTGCACTGAATCAGTATGACGTGTGGCGGGGAGTGGTTGTCCACGCACTGCCCGTAATGTTGAAAATATTACCACTGTCGAAGGCATGGTACTGAGACAAGAAGGTGCAACATGCTCTCATCCAATTGTCCGAAAGACTGCACGGGAGTCTGTCAATTAATGACTCTGATATGTAAACGTTTATTTCTGTGAGTGCTAGTTTAGTGTGCAAGTAAAAATATTGAAGCTTTCTGTCAATATTTGGGTTATCATTGTTTAACAAGGTAATGCGGTGATATAAATCAGGTGAAGTGGGAAACGATTACATATTATATAACTTCATCTATTTGTCATCTAATTACAAAATATAATTAAAGAATTTAAAAATATAACAGAATTAAGAATTAATGTTGTTTGGATATTTTTGAGACACGGTTTTACAGTTGAAGTCAGAATTATTAGCCCCGTAAATTATAAAAAAAAAAATATATATATATATACTAAAGTAGTAAACAAAATAGCTTTATAGCCTTGTATGTAAATGTTTTTTATCTTATACTGCATGATTTGTTTGCCTTATTTGCACATTTCTTGGCATTTTTCCTGAACTGCAAGATTTTAAATTACAAGAAAAATTGTTGTAATTCTGAGATAAAAAATCTGTTATCTTCATTTTTTCAGTAGTTCTTTTTTCCCTATAATATATAGCATTTTATATATATAAACAGGGGCGCTAATAATACATGGGGGCTAATAATTCTGACTTCAACTGTATATATATATATATATATATATATATATATATATATATATATATATATATATATTAATGTATTTTAAATTAGTTTATTTTATATATTTTTAATTGTACAACAACCTCAAATTACAAAGTTTGTTGAGGTCAGTAGTGCATCTATAAACTAATAAAATGTGAAAGTAGGTGAAAATGAAATGTTATAAAATATTTCTATTTGAAGTAACATCTAGAAAACATTGCGTACGTATAGAAAACATTGTGTCGTTTATAAAAAATATTATAATAATTCTATTTAATAGTTTATATGTGGTAGAGACAGACATTTAACAAATCACACTGATCCTAAACTTTTGAAAGATAAAGTTTGTAAAGTATGTAAAATGTGACTATATTAAAATATTTTATAAAAAAATATTTTTTTTTTTGCAAAAATGTTTAATAAATAAAAAATGATATTTATTATGGGAAAAAAAGAACTAATAAAAAAGAAGATTACTGATTTATTTTTGTCTCAGAATTACAACAATTTTTCTTGTAATTTCAAATCTTGCAGTTCAGAAAAAAATGGCAAGAAATCTGCAAATAAGGCAAACAAATCATGCATTATAAGATAAAAAAAACATTTACATACAAGGCTATTTTTCTACCATGTTTACTACTAAAATGAGCTGCTAAAATAACAAGTAAATGAGATTAGAACTAAATAACCAAGAAAATAATGAAATAAAGTATAATAACAATACATTTGTGAGAAAAGAAAAATTGCAAGACAATAAGTAAGAATTGTGAGATTGTCGCAGTTACCTTTACAGTAATATTCTTTTATTTAGCAAAAAAAATTGTTTTCATATGTTAAATAAATAATTTGTTTAGTTTATTTGAATATTTTTGACCCAGAATGAATACCTTTACAGTCTTTTATACCAAAAGCAATCTCTTACTCTTCATCAGTTTTCCAGTACCTGTAATTCCCCAGCCGGTGATCACACAGGCGATGGGTCTCTTGCCCTTCTTGCTGCTCTGAGGTGGAAGGCAAACAGCATTCGTGTGTGGGTTAAAGGCCACACAGTTCTCATCTGTGCCCTTTAACTTCAGCAAGGCAATGTCATACTCCCAGCCCTGACTGTGGTACTTTTTGTGGATCACGATTCGCTCAGGAGAAAGACTGCGCTCAAAATCGTCCCGCTCTTCTGTGTGGTAGTCGCCGAGCCGCAGGACATATCGGGAGGCATCTGAACCAAACCTGAAAATAATAAAAAGAGATGCTCATGTAAAGCATCTTTATTAATTGGCAACTGAGAGCCACTAGATGTCAGTAGAGTCTTTTACCTTTTAAAGCAGTGAGCAGCAGTAATGACCCAACAGGAGTTGATGAGAGTTGCCCCACAGAGAGGATGTGAGCCTTTTGATTGAGACCTGAGCCAAAGAGACACTTGCCACGGCCAGTCCCCCCTTTATGACAGACAAATGCCCACCCAAAAAAGAAAACAAACACAATTATTAGAGATTTACAAAACTTTTTAGGTTTAAAAATATATATTACTGCATATATAAATATAGCTAGACATGCTTCGATAAGGATATTTGCAGCCGTTATCAAGTACCAATTCTGATGCTTCAGGCTTCATAATGCATAAAGCACATTTTCTCTCTAAGTATGATAAGATCCCGCTTTACCTAAGAGAATAAATAAAGGATGCGGCATGTAATCCCTTAAACATGTCACTTATATCCATTTAGTAAGGAAACGTTGTGGTCAGAAGGAGCTTTACAAAAAAAAAGATAAAACTGACAATAAAATTTGGTAAGGACAATTATTGACAATGCAATATAGAAACATTGCAAACAATGGAAGAAGAATTCAACATGTCTCCCTGAAGACGTCTGGAGTGCATATTTCATGCATAAGAAGTTAAAATGAAGTTAAAATGCACAATATAAATATATTGACCTTTACTAAAAGGATATAGGAAGGCCCTATAAACTACTGTATATTGCAATAAGTATATTACAAAAGTTATATTATTAAATATTCAAGTTTACATTTGTGTCACAACAGCTCAAAACACTAGATATAAATGGTTACTTGCAACAAAGAAACCATAACTCGCACGAGTCACACCAATAATCTGTATTGCATCACATCTGTATATTTTTTATGTAGCTGCTGTGAACCGAGCGCAGTGATCCCTTACATGTTGTAGCACTGCTGATGTGTAATTTACAGGTGCACACGTGCCTTTTCCTCTGCTTGTAAACTTGTAAACAAACACCTGCGATCGGATCATAAGATTGGCCAGATCAGTGAGTACTGATCGAGTCATGTAATGTAATGTAATGTGGATTTATATAGCGCATTTCAAGAGTTCACACTTAGCTGATGATTGATTAAAATCAAGTTTGGCATGCTGTCCCGGGAGAGAGTCCTGAGCCCAAAAGGTCCTTGAGTCCTGGGCTCCCTCCCATTTGCAGGACGAGAGGGGAGCCTTGAGCTCAGGTAGATCTCGAAAATTCCCCCCTTGATAAGAGCTGATGATTAAAATGAACGCTGTGAAGAGATATGCTGCTGGATGAGAGTTTGACTGTAGTGCTAAATTTAGATTGATCAATTCACTTGTAGTGCATGTTTTTGGAATGTGGGAGGAAACTGGAGAACCCGGGGAAAACCCACGCGAGCACTGGAAGAACATGCAAACTACGCACAGAAACGACCGCCGGCCTGTTAAAGGACTAGAACCGGTGACGTTCTTGCTGTGAGGCAACAGTGCTAACCACTGAGCCACCGTGCCGCCCTATGGAGGGAAAGGTGGAGAAGTAGGGGTGGAAGGAGGGATTCTTCAAATCGAAGATGGCTGTAGTGAGAAACCCTAGCTCTTTATAGTGGGTTAGGACTGGCCTGATTGGTGGATCATACATAGCTAATGCAGAACCAGCTGTGTTTAATTATAATCACATGATCCTCTTGAAATTAGTTTATAAATAAACTTTACTTATCATGTATAGCCATACACCCAAAGTGCTTGATTGGCAGACCATGATCATAAGGGCTGATTGAGGGACTTTGGCCAGAACACCGGGGTTACACCCCTACTCTTTACAAGAAGTGCCATGGGATTTTTAATGAACACAGTGTCAGGGTTCTGCCACTTTGGTCTTGAAAATTCTTGTTTTGGTGGCAGAGCTCTGACACTTCTCATGTCTGGTCCTGTTTCTGTCTCTGTGTGAGCGCGCGCCGTCGTGGGTGTACGTAGAGTGTGCGCGCTCCTGCTTGACGCGGCCGCGCGCGCGCTCTGCGTCCCTCAGACGCGTGCGCTCTTGTACTCGTGTTTGTGTTTTCGTCTGTCAGCAGCATGGTGTTTCATTCCCAGCGTCTCAGTCTTGTTGGTTTCGGTTTTGGTCGGCGCTGGGATGAAGCATGCATGCTGCATATGTGAGCGCATGGTGAGTGTTTTCATTCATCGTGTGCTCGTGTCTTGCGTCTTTTGTCAAAGCACATGGCTCGGTGTTTACATTGGTCACGTGCTTTTGTCGTGTGCTTCAGTGTTGTGTTATGTGAGCGCATGGCTTGTATTGTCTATCTGTGTCATGCGCTCTCCCGTCTATTGTCTAGTCCCACCCTCCTTGTTAACCCATATTTAGTTAATTGTGTTCACCTGTGTTTCAATTTACTTTTTTGCTTTATAATCCCCCTCTTGTTTTCAGTCCTTTGCCAGTTCGTTGTCTACACTCCCCGTGTTCCTGATCCAGTCTTGCCTTGTTCTTGTTGAGCCAAGTTTGTGTGTTTTGTTAATGTTTTCCCCCTCGGGGTAGTTTTGTTTTGCTTTTTATTTTTATTTTATTATTAATAAATACCCATTGTTTTTTTTGCACTTGAGTCCTCGCTCCTTTTCCCCACCACAACCGTGACACACAGAGAGTCAGGACCTGGGTTTAACGTCTCATCCAAATGGGATCTCTGGCTCATCGATCGGAGCATCCCTAAATATAATAATTTATTGTTTTGAAAAATAGTTAATTAGCAAAAAAAATTTGAAAACAGTTTTTAGAATTTTTTGGATTTTATTTAAAAACACGATTTCTGAAAATGATTTTTTTTTTGCAAATGCACTCTTCATATAAGCATTATGTATTGATCTGGCAAAGCTGAATATTCAGTATCATTCTGTCACATCTTCAGTGTCACATGATTCTTCCAAAAATCATTCTAATATGCCAATTTTGTACTCAATAAATATTTATTTTTGATCAACTTTGATAACATATCTTTGTGGAAACACCAATTTTATTTGTGCTTTTAAAAACAATGTTTATTTTATAATTTTTTTAATTGAAATGTTATGTGACATCATAAATAACTTTATTATACTACTAATTATAGTTACTTCTGTTTAAAAACAAACTCTAACAGACACCAAATCGTTGAAAAGTATTTTATAGTGTATATTTTATTAATTCTTTCATTTATTTTAACGGTAGAGTAAATTTTTTAGGCAATTTTCAGATCATGAAGTAATTGAAGTCCTTTAACTAATTTTGTATTTTACAGTAAGAATCCTCTTATATAAAAAAGACTGAGAAACACATTCTTCAAAATCTCCTCTTTTTGTATTCCAGTGCAGTCAAATACTTTTGAAAGGAAATATTAGTGATTTTTTTTTTTTACAAATGACTCATTGTACTCTAATCCAGATTTGCGGTTTATTCCCAAACACAAGCTTACTTTCCAATTTTGTTGTCATTTTGCAGTTTTATAAAAATGACAAAGACACAAATGCTATATATTGTTTTTGTATGACTACACTGCTATAATACAGAACCAATGACAGCCAGCTAATCAACACAGGGAGCGAATTACCGAGGGGTTTCCCTCTAAAGGATGTCTAAACAAGACGTATTGAGGTTGTGTAAGCTCTTAAATAGTGAGAAATGATGTTCATAGATTTTTATATTTGACCACGCCGCATAGTGGTTTATACCACTGTGAATGCATAATCGTGCCAATCAGTCTAAAAAAATCATTCAGCAGTCTGAAACCAGCAGATCTAAAGCACCGATCGACATTTAAAGTGTTCTGAAGACACTTATCTTGTAAAATAGTAGTTTGTATCTTTATATAGCCTAATAGTAAATTAGACACAGTCTTAGTTTGACCTAGTATGATCTGAGAAATAGCTAATCAGAGGTTATTTAAGGTATACAATAAATATTCCTCACAATACTGAAAACTTAAATATGTTTGATTAACATATTTAGATGTCATTTAAATAAAAACATACAGTTGAAGTCAGAATTATTAGCCCCCCTAAATTATTAGACACTTATATTATTATACGCTTGTTTATTTTTTCCCCAATTTCTGTGTAACTGAGAGATTTTTTCAGCACATTTCTAAACATACTAATTTTAATAACTCATTTCTAATGTCCGATTTATTTTATCTTTACCATGATGTCTGTAAATAATATTTTACTAGATATTTTTCAAGACACTTCTATAAAGCTTAAAGTGACATTTAAAGGCTTAACTAGGTTAATTAAGTTAACTAGGCAGGTTAGGGGAATTAGGCAAGTTATTGTATAACAGTGGTTTGTTCTGTAAAAAAAATATAGCTTAAAGGGGCTAATAATTTTGTCCCTTCAAAAAATGTCCTTGCTCTGTTAAACATCATTTGGAAAATATTTAAAAAAGAAAAAAAAAATCGAAGGGGGCTAATAATTCTGACTTCAACTGTACATGTGATCACTGAAGCATGTGTTACACACTAACACTACTGAAAAAGTTGACCCACCTGATTGTCAATGTAGAATTCACACCAGGAATAAACACAATCATAAACACAATGCACATGTTAGTATATCAGCGAATAAAATTAGCCCTGACCGTAGAGACTTGTCTCCACCGATGATCCTCCTCCTGCGTCTCTGTGTGTTTGGTCTCAACCCACACTCGTGTTTGCCAAAACTATTCATTTTTACGGGTTCAGTAACATAGTCACAAATGACCCCTGCGTCCTCACTGTGCCTGCAATCATGAGCGTCCGACCCGACAGCTGAACACTCGCCCAATGAAACTTCTGTCCCAACACACTTCACATTATCCAGATGGATGGATCCCTGGCCCTCCCCAAAATAAGCCATGGATCGAGCCTTCGAGACCCCACTGAATTAAAAAGAGGAAGAAATAAGCGTTTAAGATGTTCTGATGTGACTTTATGTTTGGTTGTATGTTCTATTGGTTATGCTCTATGCGGTTGTTCATAAACGTGCTTACACAAATCCTAGCTGTCTGCAGACCACTTGAGCATTGATGTCATTCCAACCGTCGTCACACACACTGCCCCACTGAGCGTTAATGAACACCTCCACACGGCCCTCCTTACGGCTCTCTCCGTCCACCAGCCTCACCAGCGGACCTGCAAACACAGCACACAAGACAAGCATCAACTGTAGAGTACAAGTACATATTGGGTACATTGAATAGAATTAGTTACAGTGTTACAGTATCACATATATATTTTTTTAAGGATGATTTAGGGAAAAATCATTTCTCATTTCCAGCACAAAGGAATTTGGTCACACTTTATTTTGATGGTCCATTTAATGAATTTAAGTTACATTGCATCTACATGTCAACTAATTCTTATTAGATTATAAGTAGACTGTTAGGGTTAGGGTTGGGGTAAGTGTAAGTTGACATGTACTTGCAAAGTTTCTTATAGTCAGTTTAATGTCTGTTATAGGAGCAGTATCAACATATAAAGCAGTAATCTACTGTAATCTACAAATATTCAAATGGACCATCAAAATAAAGTGTTATTAGGAAGTTTTTGATTGTGTTTTCCCCTTTTGGTGTGTGTATAAATGTTGACATTTGTTTGTTGTTTATCCATCCATGTTATTTTGTTTTTGGTATGTTTGTTGTTATTGTAAATATTGTACTTTGTATATACACAGAGGAGCAGGTTGGACGCCACACTTTTCTTTTCTGTAAATATTTTCTCCTGTTTATATACATAGACAGGGAGTTGTTCTTGTATTTTTTATTTTCTGTTGTTTAGTTAGGTGTATTTAGTTTCATTTGAGTGTTTAGGTAGGGGATATATTTTTGTTTATTATTTTTCTGTGGGTCCTTTCCAAGGTATTTGGCTTCATGTTTTGGGTGTTTAAAAAAGAAGAAGAAGAAGAAAAAAAATAAATAAAAGGAGTCGACTCCAAGGGTTCATAAAAGTGATTTTATTTGTCCAGTGTTCTTTTATGTTACGTCCTTGACCCTGGACCAGTGTTGTACCATAAGATGCACATATTTGGTGCTAAAGTTTGGTGCCTAATAAAAAATGACAGAAAAAAGCTTTATGGTAATTTTATTATTTACATATTTAAATTATTTGTTTCAAATCCATATATTATATTTATCACAATAGATTGCTAAACCTAAATAGTTAAATTATGGTTTGTTTTAGATAGTCCTTGCTTATTAAGCTAACATGTTCAGACATTATGCTGATTAGATCACTCTGTAATGAATTAAATATATACTATTTAAATATACTATTTAAAACAAATATAATTTCTCTAATAAGTAAGCTCAGATAAGAAAAAAAAATATTTATATATATATATATATATATATATATATATATATATATATATATATATATATATATATATATATTATTACAAAATTAGAACTCAATTCTAAAAATAAATAAACTAAAGCTTAAAAATTAAAGCTTGAACGTTAATATACTTAAAGCATATTGTGTGCTGTGTTTACAGTGATTCTTGGTTTTTTATTTGTCTGGCAATTTTCACATGAAATATAGCACAGAATAGAGCCATGATTTGCTTACAAAATGTTGCTCTTTTTAAAAAATGAAACCCTCACTTATCACTGAAGATAGATAGGGGGGGGCATGTAACAACACTATTCACCTACTAATTGTTTTATAACTGTTTAACATGAATAGCCTTTCACTATCATTTTGCCTTGTAAAATGTTTCAGTAAAAATTACGAACTATAAAGTCTAGTCATTTTATTTGTTATTTCCAATCAAAAAGTCCAGAAGAACAATGTTTCTGAATAATTTGTGTAATTGTTTATGTAAGTAATACATAATAAGTGTTCAACTGTTTATAAAAAATGAGTAGCTTGTTCAATATCTAAATAATATGCTGTCTTTGAAAAGATTTAAGTAATAAAAAAAGAAAACAACAGTTCTAATTAATCTTTAAATTATTGTAGATTGGCTTTCATAGCGCAACAAATCGCTTCTAATGAATGCAACAATTTATGTATGTGCCCTAAAAATACATAACAGGACTTTCTTTTTCTCACACAACGTATGTGTTCACACACATATGTAATTATATTATACTACACAGATTCTTAATTTTGTTTGGCTCAAAAATGTACAGAGTGCAATTGCTTTGTCTTGTGTAACATTTAAAAGAATACTGTGTTACTCTTGGTGATGCTTAAGCAAATGGACATGTTTTACACAGAGTTTCCGCACCTGTGACAGGAGCCACTTCGGGGATCTCATTGTTCTGTCCTTCTCTTTCGCAGCGAATTCCCACATCCTCACTGTGAGAGCAGTCATGCTGACCCCACTGAGAATGATCACAGTCCAGCAGAGAGCTCTCTCCTCCTTCACAGGTCACCTCATCCAGCAGGATCATTCCTGTACCCTCGCCATACATCCCAACTGGAGACACCTCAGCTCGCCCCCTAAAGGACAAAGAAAATAATTGCAGCAACAGATCAAAAAGTGAGTAAGTGAAAAATATGGACACAACTTTATTTTAGGTTCCAAGTACATGTTCTCTGATTTTAATCTATAGGAAAAGATCCAAAAAGCAATGTCAAAACATTCCGTGTGACTTTAGTGGTTCACCTGTAACCATATGAAACACAACTAACACTTGTGCAGCAAAAAATTAAAAAAAAAAAAAATAATAATAAAATAAATAAACAACAACAACAACAACAAAAAAACTGTAAAACTTTTTTTGTATCTTCTTATTCTCTTCTCAGGGTGCGCTTTTATTATGAACAGTACAACGTATGAGACGTATGAGTCAGTAGCGCAACAAACAAATGACTAAACACACCTTGATCTGGTCAGAAGAGAAGATATTGGTGAACAAAGTCATATTTACAAATTAACATTATTTATAATTAACATTATAGTTGAACCACTGAGGTCACATGCAATGTTTTTGGCTCATTTTTAGGACGTCCCAGTCTTTTTTTAAATACCTGAGCAGTAAATTACCTGTTATTTACAGGAATTACACTGCTAAGAGCAGCATTTAAATGAATATATAAATGTACTGCACGCTTTAATCTCAAAAACATACAATACACATACAACTAAAATTACAACAGTGAGAAAACAGCAGTTAAGAAAGCATCTTGTAATAATGATGTTGATGTTTGACTGAGTGATTAAGCACACCAGTCAAGAAAGAGGCTTTACAGTATAAAATATATAACCACAAATCAGAAAAATACTTTTTTTTACAACCTTTTTTCCTTTAATTTTGTCAATTGGTGAAGTTTTGTTCCCTGCCACTGTTGCCACTGGCTTGCTTTTTTGAGACTTGTGGAGCTATGCATCGATGGATTTGCTCTACAGCAGGGGTCTCAAACTCGCGGCCCGCAGGCCATTTGCGGCCCTCAGTGCAATATTTTGTGGCCCGCGCCGACCGCGGGAGAGAGAGCGCTCCCCGCTCTGCTGATTCTATCCGTACACAGCGGTCACTGGCATTCCCCGCCCGCCGTGTAAACAAAGGGGCGGGGATGCCGGTGACGTCACCACGCACCCCGCCCCTTTGTTAGACGCTGTGACGGGCGGGAAGTGATAGGAGGGAACTCGCGCCGGCCAGAACCAAGGTAATTTGTTCCCGCCCCTGCCTGCCACTTAGCTACCTAGCTACAGCCTGCATTATATGTATTATAGGTAGATACAGACTGGTACAGACTGATGTGACTGGAGTGGGGTGGGAGTGTTTTATTTATACATATACGCCTTTTTTTAGGTGAGGGAATGGAAGTTTTGAGTGAGTTCCCCCACTTTTTTCTGTGTGAGAAGTTATTCTCCACCTTGAACTTCAATAAGTCAAAGTACAGGTCTAGACTTAATGATGATCATCTTCAAGCCATACTGAGGGTCTCAACTGCTTCCGCTCTAAAGCCAAATGTGGTTCAGATTTGTGAGAAGAAGCGCTGTCAAGTCTCTGGCAGCAAGGAGTAGGCAAAAGATGCCATGTTCAGAAGAACTGTTCATAATCTTCACTCAATGTTCTATTAATGTTCAGAAGAAATAATTTAAACTGTTAATAATGACATTTGAAGACTTTTTTTTTGTGAAATCCCTTATGCGGCCCAGCCTCACCCAGACTTTGCCTCCTGCGGCCCCCAGGTAAATTGAGTTTGAGACCCCTGCTCTACAGTGTTTGGAATTTCAGCAGTGAAAATTAATCCACACTGAACTGAACAAACAGAACTTTATTAAACAACATTCAACAAACAACATTAAATAACATTCTATTGTCTGAACATTACTATTGTCTGCAATGAAATATAAGTCAAAGTAAATTTAGAAATCACTTAGTTCTCCTTTTATTTGCGTTTTCCTTTCCTAGATTGTAAAGAAATACAGTCACCGTTACTTTCAAATATAAGCAGCTCTTCAGTGTTAATGACTATACTAAGAGACATTTGGTCTTGATGGACTGAACAGACGAAATGAACCATGAAAGAATTACTAGTCAAAGAAGGCAGAGGCTGAGAGACACTCCAACTTATTAAACAACTCTGACTGACCAATAGCAGTTTACCAGCCAAAGCTGAAATTACCTAAAAGCTCATTTTAAAAAACTGTTTCTAACTCCTGAAACAAACACCAAAAAAACTTCTTTTAGGCTTAAAAATGACATTAATTTGTTCTTTGATTTGATTTTATACATTGTCGTACATTCCTAAGACTAAAGAGCTTATCTCAAACATAAACATATCTAACACACTAAAACATGTGGCTTTTAGACATATGCTTACATACATAGATGGATTCATATTTCTTCCTTCCAATCCATCCCAGCATGGATCAACATTTATCCTTTTTCTCATTACTTTATTAATATGGATATTTCAATAATGAATAAAGTTGACACATAGCTTAATATAAGAATGTTCAGTGCGTTTGCCTGTCTCTTTGTAACTCTATTTTCAGGATCCACCAGATTAGGTCAGAGGTCATGAAGACCTCAAGTGGAACTGAAGAGTTTGATGACTGAAAACAACTGTACAACTGTTTAAAGTGATTATATTTTTTTATTCAAGATAGACTTTGTGTAGTAAGGATATAACTGCCTGAATGTAGATTACACCGGTTTTTAAAACCAGTTTTGATAAAGAGTACACTCAGCCTTGGGTAAAAAACAGATTGTACTGTAAGTGCATAGGTTCTATTTGATTGTGGATCCGTTTCACAGGTCTGGAGTCAGCTCTAAACAGTCTAGTGGATGTCTGACATTTATATGCTTGAGATATTGTTCAGAATTGTACGCACACACCCATGTGGACATTTTCCTAGTCTATCTGTGTTTTAACCAATCAGGTTATAACACTATGTATGGCACGGTTGATAACGTTATGTGAGATTATAATTGATGTTGATTTTTGATTGTAAGGCAGAGCAGCCTAGGAACTCATTGCGAGTGTTGAAGCTGGCTTCTGCTGATAAAACTGTAAACTATCTTCAATTTATTTATTTATTTATTTATTTATTTATTTAAATCTCTGACTCTGGCTCTCCTTCATCTGACAGACTGGTCATTCTTTGGGTTAAAACTGCACATTATCCCTACAACATTTTCATTTGAAAAGTTATGTTTTATTTTATTTTAATGGGCTCCTTTAGACATTTGAAACTGCATGCCAACAAACTCTAGAGTATTAGCAGATTATTATATTAGCAGACTGTTGGATTAGGATTAGCAGAACAAAGACAATAGCACACGCACACACAAAAAGTTTGCTTCAAGAAGAAAGAAACATTAATGAGTTTGGAGAAAACATGACCTCTGTAACATGACCTCTGTAATTAAAGTGCAGTATAAAGCTTCCAAGTTACTTAATCAACAGAACCATATAAATAAAGTGAAAGTGTTACCAAAATATTAATATCAATTAGGCCAAATAAGCCTCTCACCGATAACCCAGCTGTCGACACACCACCTGGGCATGTCGTCCGGTCCAGTTGTCGTCACACACTGTGCCCCATTCACCAGCATGATAAACCTCCAGACGGCCTTCCCATGGGCTATCAGCTCCAACCAGACGCAACACTCCATCTACAGCAATAGTATTATGTCAGCAGTTAATCATTGCACAAACATTGATAAAAAGTGGTAATGTTGTGTGTGATGTTGTCTTGCACAGTTGATGTCATCTTCACCTGTAAACGGGTTGCACGAGACTCCAGCGTCCTCCATGTGGTCACAGTTGTGTCGGCCCCAGGGTGCATGAGGACATTCCTCCAGAGAGAGCTCATTTCCTGTGCAGTGAACGCCATCCAGAGCGATAGGACCGGTGCCCTGCCCGAAGTGAGCCCAGGTCCACGCCTTCGGCACGCCACTGAAAAACAAACACATGGCTGGAATTTATTTCAACATTTTTGTTGTTGTTTTTGAACAGTCTTAAAAAGAAACTTGAACAGAAGTTTATGGTCTGAAATATCTAAAAAGAATCTTTATTTTTCTCTAAACATGAAAGTTATGGACGGCACAGTGGCTCAGTGGTTAGCACTGTCACCTCACAGCAAGAAAGTCGCTGGTTCTAGTCTTGGCTGGGCCAGTTGTCGTTTCTGTGTGGAGTTTGCATGTTCTCTCTGTGTTGGCGTGGGTTTCGTCTGGGTGCTCCGGTTTACACCATAGTCCAAAGACATTATAGGCAGTATAGGTAAACTGAATAATTTAAATAGCTGTAGTGTATGCAACTATGCATGTGTGTGTGTGTGTGTGTGTGTGTGTGTGTGTGTGTGTGTGTGTGTGTGTGAATAAGACTATATGTGTGTTTCCCACTACTGGGTTGTGGCTGGAAGGGCGTCCACTATGTAAAACATATGCTACAGTAGTTGGCGGTTCATTCCGCTGTGGTGACCTCTGAAATAGAGACTAAGCTCAGGGGTAATTACTGTGTCGGAGCGCATTGAATAAAGGATTCAAAAAGATAAACAATGAAATCATAAGTTCAATGGACTCGAGAGTAAAAGAAAGTAAGAGAAATTAAGAACAGCACATAATAGCCATGTTAATAAAGGCTTTTTAATATTTTTTCACTTTTCAAGTGCCTCGAACTTATGATTTCATGATAAAATGATAAATGAATGATAATTTTTTTTGTTATTTAGAACAAAATAGACATGAATAGAAAAAATAAGGTATTAACTACATTCATATCATTCATTAATTTATTAATTTTCTTTTCGGCTTAGTCCCTTTATTAATCTGGGGTCGCCACAGTGGAATGAAACGCCAACTTATCCAGCACATGTTTTTACGCAGCGGATGCCCTTCCAGCTGCAACCCATCCCTGGGATGACAATCCATACACACTCATTTACACTCATACACTACAGACAATTTAGCCTACCCAATTCACCTATACCACATGTCTTTGGACTGTGGGGGAAACCGGAGCACCCAGAGGAAACCTACGCGAACGCAGGGAGAACATGCAAACTCCACACAGAAATGTCAACTGACCCAGCCGAGGCTCGAACCGGCTTTTCTTTTATTTTATGTGTGTGTTTGGTAGCGAGAGAAAAGAAGGTTTCACTGACTGTGAAGGGTAAAATCAGTTGCTTCTATCCCACTGCAGATTCATGGAGTGATTCCCTGCACCACATCAATCATTCACACACTCTATCCATTCATCTATATTAATAAAGTTCACTCTCTGTGCTACAGCAGGAGTGTATGCATGTGTGTGCGTGGTTGTGTGTGTAAAAAATGACTGTCCTAAAAGAGCTGCACTCAGATTTGTGTATGACATCATCAGCATCTCCCAGCTCTTGTAATTGCTTTTAGCTGAATCATTCGAGCAAAGCATTTTAACAAATGCTACCTAAAGAGAAAAGAGCTCAATCTTGATGATGCTATTACTTACAAATGCTTTTAAGCTACATTAGAAGAACCCCTACTGAAACAATTGTGTACAGATATCCTTGTACTCCTGATGTAGTAGAAAACCACAGGCCAAAAAAGAAAATTGATTATATCTTTAAAATTAATATTTTCCATATGATGCTATACAATGGTTATTTTATCTTTACCATGATGACAATAATTAATATTTTGCTAGATATCCTTCAAGGCACTTCTATACAGCTTAAAGTGACATTTAAAGGCTGAACTAGGTTAACTAGGGAGGTTAGGGTAATTAGGCAAGATATTGTATAATAATGGTTTGTTCTGTAGACTGTCCAAAAAATATAGCTGAAAGGGGCTAATAATTTTGACCTTAAAATGGTTAAAAAAAAACTGCTTTTATTCTAGCTGAAATAAAACAAATATAACTTTCTCTAGAAGAAAAAATAATATCGGACATACTGTGATTATTTCCTTGCTCTTTTAGACATCATTTTGGAAATATTAAAATATAAATATAACTAAAAAAACTTAAGGTAGGCGCAATAGCCTAGTGGTTAGCGCGTCGACATATGGTGCAGTAGCACGTCAGGGCGTCCCGAGATCGAATCCCGGCTCGAGGACATTTCCCTACCCCCTCTCTCTCTCTAACTTCACTTCCTGTCTAAATACTGTCCTATCTAATAAAGGCAAAAAAAGCCAAAAAATAAATCTTAAAAAAAAAAAAAACCTTAAGAACATCCAAATTTGTTAAGGATTTTGTATTACAAATGTTGTTAGTAATACAATTTTCATAGAGAAAAATTAATACACTTTTATTTATACTTTTATTTTACATTTATACATCAAATTTATAAATATTTGTTTTGTAGCCTATTAAAGTTTTATTTTTTTATATTATAATTTATTAACCTAAGAAAATGTATTTAAAAATAAATCAATATAATTTAATTTACAATTAAATTCTTCCTGGTTCCAGACCTGTTTTTGTCTCAGTATGAATAGTTTTTGAAGTGTTTTTTATTTTTATTTCAATATGTTAACAGAATAGGGTATTTAAAATGCTAGGGTTAATAGAAAATACATATTTTCCAGGTAATATTTATAAATTATTTAATTTATTACAGTGACATTACAATTAATATATATTATATTGCTGCTATATTATTAAACACATTATTATTATTTAAATATAAAAATCTGAACAGGTTAAAATACTATTTGTGGGTTGCTGGCATACAAACGTTTCCAAGCCCCTGCTTTAAGACACAGATTACAGATTTCTTACCCCAATCCCAACTGTCTGCAAACCACTTCAGCATCAATATCATCCCACTCGTCATCACAGATGGTCCCCCACCGTCCATTATAATACACCTCCACACGGCCCTCGAAATCCTCAAGACCCCCGACGAGCCTCAGGGGGGCACCATTTCCTAAACAAAATAGTCAAATCAATTCATTCAGTCAATGTAGAGGAAAATGATTACGACAAAGTTTACAGTGCAACATTTCATTCATTTTCACCTTAATGGCAAAAGTCTGAAACTCTGCTCTGCTTCAGCAAGGAATCCCTTTAATAGACTATAGATCTCAGTCACACTTATGGTTTAATGCTTTAAAGCATGTATGTATGTGTGGTAAAGGAAAAGGACATGTGTAAGGACTGTTGGCAAAGCCATAAAGCTCTCGGATTGCTTTCTCCTTCCTAATGTTTCTGTGTGAATAATTCACAGCTCTCTCTAAATATACCTGACCCTGTTCTAGCAAACTGTCCCATTACAACAGGCACACTGTTTACGACCCTGCTTCTGTCTCGCATGAATTCTGTCTTCATTTAGCTTCACGAGAAGCCTTTGCACACTATACCACTGCTGAAAATATAGCTTTAGGGAGTATGATCAGCAGATACAAGAATACATGCGCAGCTGTTGCTGCCGCATATGTACATCAAAATCTAAGGTAAAGACATTTATGTCACAATAATTGTCTAACAAACAATTTTGAAAATGATTCAATTGATAGACAATAACTGTTTATTAATGATGTGTTTAATACTGATGACATTAAAAGAAATGTTTCCTGAGCAACAAATCAGCTTATTACAATGATTTCAGAAGGAAAATTATTTGAACCTTTGATTATTATTATTTATACATATAAATACTTTGATTATTCCACACTTTGATTATCTGATTATTTACTTATAAATATATATACTTTGATTATTCGATTATTTGACACTTTGCCATAACTGAAATGAGTTCTTATAGCAATAATACACCACAACATAAAACAATAATAAAATATATATATATATATATATATATATATATATATATATATATATATATAATTATCATTATTATTTATACATACAGTATTGGTAAAAACAAGAAACAAGTTTGGAAACATTGAGATTTATGTTTTGAAAAGAATTCCTATCACCAAGGTGTCATATACAGTATTTGATAAATAATACAATAATATTGTAAAATATTAGTTCAATTTAAAAAGCTAATGCCCGCTGACAATTTACCTTCTGCCGTCATATGGAAAAATTGCATTTGAAAATATATTGACATAAATACAATTACAGAAATAAACACAAATATATGCGCTCTCAGAAATAAAGATTTATGAGCTCTCATCGGGGTGGTACTTTTTTAAAAGGTACAAATTTGTACCTAAAAAGTCCATGCTAATACCTCAAGGGTACATATTAGTACCGAAAAAAGTGTTCATCTTAAAATTTTCAGATACTAATATATACTTTTGAGGTACCCTTTAGGTACAAACATGTCCCTTTTGAAAAGGTACCACCCCAGTGACAGCTTGCGTACCTTTATTTTTGAGAGTGTATATATTTTTAAAATAATATTTCAGAAAACTTTTTTTAGATTATATTTTTGTACTTTTTAAAAAAAAACTTTTTAAAAATAGAACGTAACAAGATCAGAGTTCTATCAGAAATAGTCAAAAAGCATACAGATGGATACTGAAAAGATTAGGGAAAGAAAAAAGAAAAAAAGAGAAAAAGAAAAGAAAGACATTTGCACAGTGTTATTTTAAAACAGTATATATCATGTTGAAATAAAAAAAGGGGGGGGGGGGGCGCGTTGGTAGACGTTTTATTTGCTTATCAACTTATCATGTATATGATGTGGCTGTTTACTAAATCTACATTGTATGTTTTAAGTTAGTTATGTATAACTCTTAGAATTGGGTCCCATCTTGCTTCAAATATAGTCATCTAGAGTCAGTTATTCTTCCCATTTTATAAATTTTTCTAGTTTTGTTGTTTTTACGTAGGTGGGTCTGATCTGAGCCTGTAATTAATACATTAATACAAATAATTCTTCTTTGCCCCATGTTCTCAGGCATAATACCAAGGACTGCCACAGTTCAAAATACCTTTTAATAAAAAAAAAAGTATACACAGGATTTATTATCAAAATACCATGCAGTCATCTTACCCTCAGGTACAGCACATATGACTCCAGCCTCATTGCCATGGTTACAGTCACCAGATACATACTTCCTAGTCCGGCACTTGAGCAGAGATTCTTCATTTCCATGGCAGCCGAGACGCTCAAAGTGGAAGAGACCAGAACCAGGCCCGAAATATGAATGGCGGAGTGCAGTGCCGATTTCACTATGAGGAGTTAGCAGGTCATTAATGAAATTGCATATTGAGTATTAATCAGGACAGAGACTCCAGCTGATAGGAAAGAAAGTTTGAGGCTTATACCCGAGTCTTAGCTGTCGACAGATCACACTGGCATCTCGATCCGTCAGGTGAGAGTCACACACTGATCCCCATCGGCCATTTAGATACACCTCCAGACGACCACTCTTATTAGATGAGCCCCCCACCAACCGCACATCACCTGGAGGAATACATGTTAGAGTTAAGATTGAAAATGATAAAGTTTAAGAAAATTGTGTATTTCTTGGACCTGTAGAATTGTATGACTACATAAATAAATTGTAAACAATAATATATATTAAATGTCATAACAAATCAAATAATATAATATAATATAATATATATAATATAATTTAATATAATATAATATAATATAATTAAATATAATATAATATAATATAATATAATATAATATAATATAATATAATATAATATAATTAAATATAATTAAATATAATATGATTAAATATAATTAAATATAATATAATATAATATAATATAATATAATATAATATAATATAATATAATATAATATAATTAAATATAATATAATATAATATAATTAAATATAATATAATTAAATATAATATATCTAAATATAATATAATATAATATAATATAATATGACATGTTACAATGAAGTGGGATTAGAAATGAAATAAATAATCAATAAAATATATTCAAATAAAAATTTTAGATGACTTTTGCAGAAATTGTTTATTTTAGAGCATCAAATATAATTATTTTAATATAAACATCAGTCATTATGGAATAACCCCGATTTTTACAACAACTAAAAACATTTATTATTCTGACTAGTCATCAATTTCTGTGCTTTTTATGGTTTATTTGCTTATTTTAGGTTATTTCTGGAGGATTATGAAAGAATAATAATGCATTTATGAAGTGTGCTTCACACAGGTGAGTGGGCTGGCAAACCATCTATAGAAACACTCTATACACCATACACTTTACCTAAACTCCTTATGCCAAGTTCAGACTGCATGATTTTAGCCCCGATTTTGACTCGCTGACAAGTTTTGAGAAATTGCCAACAAATGCCTGAAATCACAGGCAAATCAGTCCTCTTGCAGGTGAGTGACAATCACACAGTATGAACTATCAAAGACGTGACCTGAGCAAATCGCCGATGAGTCTCCGATGCCTGTGAGATATTTAGCATGCTGAATATCTGAAGCTGTCAATGATTCGAATCATGCCGTGTGAAATGTGTTTTGACTAAAACTAACATTAGCGATCGCCTACAGCCAATGAGAAAGCAGCATTCACTTGTATGTGTGTGTGTGTACCTGCAGGCCAGCGAGAGGTTGAGGCAGAAGTTAAAATCACTAATTTTTGGTTTACTTGGACCCAAGAAATGGAGGAAAAACTAGTAAAGTTCGACAGGAGCACCTGTTTCTGTTTGACGTTTCATACAGAAAGTTAAAAGAGAAAGTTGAGGAGCAAATCCCTTAAAACCAAGGTGACCAAATGTGCACATTTTCTACCATATTAAAGGCTTCTTTTTCGTTATATAATTAATAACAAAAGATATACTTTGTGTTTTTGGCTGAGAGACGTAGTTTGGAAGAAGTTGTCGGCAATTCTTCCTATTGTAAAGTCATGCAATGTGAAAACCCCTGTCACTGATTCATCTTGAAGTAAACAAAGCAGCGACAAAACGCTAGTCCAGCTAGTCATGCAGTGTGAAAACAGCTGTGACACCACTACTTTGAAAATCATGCAGTCTGAACTCTGCATTACTTTACATCCCAGGTGTCAAATCCAATTCCTGAAGGGCTGCAGCCCTTCAGAGTTTGGTTCCAACCCTGCTTCAACTCACTTACCTGTAGGTTTTAAACAAAACTAAATGACTCATTTAGTTTGATTAGGGTTGGAACTAGACTAGATATATCTGCGGCCCTCTAGAAACTGGATTTGACACCTGTGCTCTACGATGTTAGACATTTTATAGTATTTTTGCAATAACTTGCTGGCGGCAATGTTAGCAGCAAATTACTGCAACTGCCAATTTACGGTAACTTACCTGTAAATGTGTTTTACAGTGGCAGGACCCTACCGCAATTTCCTTTTACAGTAAACAAGCCGCAACTTCTTTTTATGGTAAAATTGCCTTTAACAGATTTTAATTTTACAGTATGATACTTTTTACAATACCATTACAGTAAATTATTTACATTTTACACTAGCAGTAAAGCCTTTATTTTTAGTATTTACTATTTTTATATACTAATTTAATAAATTCCAAACAAGTGACGAGATCATGTATTTTTATTATTCATTGTTATTTTATCCATTTTAAATGGTTTAGAAAGGTATTTTTCATTCATCAATCGATTTTAAATACATTTTGTGATTAATTGATCATTCTTTTCATTAACTGTCTCATTTTTGACTTGATTACTATTATGCAGAATTCCTAATATGCAGAAAGTTACTTTAAGAGTTACAGTACCCATAATCCAGTGCATATTGCTGTAGTGAACTGTAAAGAATGTTTGTGGTATTTTACTGGGTGTTTTTGCAGTAAATAAACGGTAAAATTGTGACAAATACTTACAGAGTAGCATTCAATTCTCTAAGCACTTCGTATTGCATGCAGTAGTAGACATCTTTAAAAATATTTACCTCTTCCCCGTGACCAAAGGCAAAACCAAACTTACCCCTCCCTCCTATTTTACATTTACAAACTCCAAAAAACTCATTAGAGACAGTCACAATTGGACAACCTGCTGCCACACGTCATGCTCACAAACATCTAAATACTCTATTTGTCTAAAGTCTGTTCCCGACTGTCTTTAATGGTATTCAATAGAAAGGAAAAGGCGTAGAGCACCAGACAGAGATAATCTCAGCCCACTGAGATACAGCAATCAGATTTCAACACCAGTTCCGACAAAGACGGGTGACGAGAGACAGGCACAAAGAGATCCAGAGGGCAAACACACTCACACACACTTTCTCAATGACAGTATCAAATGCATGTGAATGATGCGAGACTGATTGACAATCAATGCGGAGGAAGATGAACAGAGGACAGAGAGAATCCTTGAGGTCTGTTAGCTGACTGTGTGCTGTTACTGCAGTAATAAACATCACTCAGCTTCTGTACAACAACAGCTACACTAATAGGATGGCTATGACACTAAAACTCACCAGGACGCCTTCGCTGTATAAACACAAACGTCACGGTCCAGCTAGGACTTTCTCTAGGTCAAACGAGGCTAGACTTAGGAGATATGCAACCAAGAGCTCTAGCCACAAATGTATTTACATAATTTTCCTTATGTTTTATGTGTGTGTCGGTGCTATTTTAATTGCAATGGCAACTAATTTATTATGAAATGAGTGTCTTCTCAAGTTAAACTTCATTTGTAGTTATATATAGTAGCGTTCTGGCATTGATTATGTACAGTTAAAATTATAAGCCCTCCGGTGCAATTTGAATTCTTTAACAAAAAAAAAAAAAAAAAAATCAAGAGCAGTTTTAAATGGAAAAAAGATTGTTGAACATGTTTAAACACAATAGCTTTATAAAACCATTACTAATATCTACTTTCTTATTTTTTTCTTTGCTATGATGACATAACAGTTTACTAGTTATTTTGCAAGATAATAATATTCAGCTTTAAGCGCAATTAAAAGGCTTGGTCATTTAGGTTATAGGCAGGTCAGGTTTTTTTAGTCATCAGACAAAAGTGGTTTGTTCTGAAGCCAATTGAATATTATATTTTCAGGGTTCACTCTATGCTATACTTTTGTTGCTTGTTTAAATTACCTAATTATTCATTCATACATTTTCTTTTCGGCTTAGTCCCTTTATTAATCTGGGGTCGCCACAGCGGAATGAACCACCAACTTATCCAGCACATGTTTTACGCAGCAGATGCCCTTCCAGCTGCAACCCATCTCTGGGAAACATCTATACACACTCATCCACTACGGACAATTTAGCTTACCCAAATCACCTGTACCGCATGTCTTTGGACTATGGGGGAAATCAGAGCCCCTGGAGAAAACTGACGCGAACGCCAACACAGAAACGCCAACTGACCCAGCTGAGGCTCAAATCAGCGTCCTTCTTGCTGTGAGGCGACAGCACTACCTACTGCGCCACTGTGTGACCCAAATTACCTAATTATGTTAAACTGAAACAACACAATTCTTGAGATTTCGTTGGGACAACTTATTTGTTTTGTGTTCAACCTACTTAAATTTCTAAAAACGTAACTCCTTAATTCAAATTGATGGTGTGGATCCCAGAATTGTTACAGTGTTTCATAATATTTACCATAAAACTGCTTTTATTGCAGCCAAACCAAAATGAAATAGAAGAAATATTTTAAAGGAAATACTGTGAAAATATTCTTGCTTTGTTAAATATCACTTGGGAAATATTTGAAAAATAATTAGGGCCCTATCATAGCAAGGTGCAACGCAATTGTTGTTGGCTAGTTTCAGCTTGGCGCAAGAGTCGTTTTGACGTTTTGCGCCAGGCTGTTTAAATAGCAAATGCGTTTGCACTCAAATGGTGTTCTGATCTAAAAAGGAAGGCGTATTGAGGTGCATTGCATTGGCGTTGCTATTTTGAGAAACTATAATAGATTTTTCAATAGACCAGAACAAAGCTAGTCTATTGTCCAGCGCAGAGCGCGTTAGTTGTGCGCCTCACTTACACATTGCTTAATACACACAAGATGTAGAGCAATACGCAAATATCTTTACATATAAAAAATAATTTAAATATTAAGGATATATATTGGATATAAATAGAATATATATATATATATATATATATATATATATATATATATATCCTATTTTCATTTTGGTTTGGCTGCAATAAAAGCAGTTTTATGGTAAATATTATGAAACACTGTAACAATTCTGGGATCCACACCATCAATTTGAACTAAGGAGTTACGTTTTTAGAAATTTAAGTGGGTTGAACACAAAACAAATAAATTGTCCCAACGAAATCTCAAGAATTGTGTTGTTTCAGTTTAACATAATTAGGTAATTTGGGTCACACAGTGGCGCAGTAGGTAGTGCTGTCGCCTCACAGTAAGAAGGACGCTGATTTGAGCTTCGGCTGGGTCAGTTGGCGTTTCTGTGTTGGCGTTCGCGTCGGTTTCCTCCAGGGGCTCTGGTTTCCCCCGCAGTTTGGTTGCATATATATATATATATATATATATATATATATGATATAAATATAAAGGATTAAAATATTATATAACATTTTTTTTTCTAGCCTACATAAATATAAAAAACCATACTTTCATGCCTTCTTCATCTCGGGGGGCTTTTTCAGTTTATTCATAACAATTCACTTTTTTATAATGTTATTATTATTAGCAGTATTATTTATTATATCCATATGTATATTTGTTTTATTAAAAACAAGCTTAGATTTGCCCACCTGTCAGGTTTTAAACCATATGGGGCACAGCATGTGGCGCGACGCAACTGACTCTTAAAAGGAATGGGAAATGAGACTCTAATTGGTTTATTCTCAAAACACACCTATAACTTATTAAGAAAATAAGCTCAACCCTTATAGACCATGCGCCACAGTGCAAAGCAGATTTTTCCGTCCTTATATTAGCAAAAGTGGATTCTGACACGCTCTTAATGCGTTTGCGCCCTGCGCTTTGAACTTTCTGCATGGATCAAAATAGAGCCCTTAATGTTTCATAAGACATTATGACAATTTTGTCTTCAAGCAGCAGAGCTTTTATTATGCCACAGTGCACAGCTTCCAGCTTATCCAATCATGTGGAAAAGATGTAGCGCTGTTTTGTCAAACTAAATATATTTAAGCGTTCTGCTATAGTAATGCTCTGTGCTATCTAATAAAACACACAACATATTAAAGCGTCTTTGGTGTTCCTATGTTTCCCATAAAAACTTATTTTTCATCTAACTTCTTCTTCTGAAACTCTCTACGTTCTTAAGCAAAATACATAACACTGTTCAAGGGGGTTTGGATATTTTAATGAGCAAAGTCTTACATAATATGCCTTTATTTAATTCATTAGTTCCAAAAAAACCTTGTCAAATGTACCAGTTTGTGAGTACATTCAACATGTCTAGAATGTATTCACGGCATAATTGGACTAATTATAACTTAGTATAACAGTATATCTCTGATGTCTAAAACGGACCATGGTCTAGTCCTGCTAGACTAAATAAAGATAACTGGCTAGCACAATATTTTGAAGAAACAACATTTGTACATATTTTTTTGCATCTGTTCATCTTTTTCAAGCGTTACTTCTGAAAATGGTATACAGGTATGCGTTTTGGTTGCTTTGTATCATTTAGACACAACAAGAATATTTTTCATAAATATGGAAATTCTGTCATAGTTTCAAACCCGTTTTAGCTACTTTCTACTCTTCAACACAAAAGAAGATATTTCGAAGAATGCTTAGAACTGGTAGCCACTGCCTTCCAAAGTAGATGTTGTGGTCACACTGGTTTTCAATGGCCTTTATTAATGTCCAAATAATTTTTGTGTGTGTGTTCAACAGAAAAATAAATTCCTAAAGGGTTGGAACCACTTAATGGTGAGTAAAGTTTAATTTCTGCTTGATCTGTGAATATAAAACTCATACTGCAAAACCATAACCACCATAAATATGACTGCATGAGAGAAGGCATTGAGTAGAGCTCACCCTGGTGGCAGTCACAGTAAGCCCACCCGACGGCTCCAGACTTCTGTCTGAAGAAGCACCAGGGGTTGGATTCACGGTCAGGGTTTCTGCAGTGGTTGTGGTCCCCCAGCCCACGCTTCGGGTACTGAAGCATGTAGTCTGGAAATTCAGTCCATTTCAGACAGGAAAAGCCAGTGTCGGTCTGAGACACAGATCCGTTGTAATAACCCAGCTCAGTGAAGCCCTCAGAGCAGGACAGAGGCCCTATGGGAAACACATCTTCAGTTCAATTCAGCATTCAATTTCTTTGAAAAAACCACCTCCACAGAGCATAAAAGGACAAGTCAATGCAGTGCAATATAAAGGATTTTGGGATAAAAAAGAAGCATGACCTAGACCTTTTTTTTTTTAAAGCGGCAGGGATGCAGGCTGAAGGTGGTCTTATTATTATTATATATAGTTTTTGTAGTGGTTTCTGTATCAGTGAAACCCCTAGAGTGCCTCTTCTGGATGTAGTCCAGTGTGAGATACTAATGATGTCTTTACTGCAGTGTAAACCTGCTGTGATGAGTCACACATCCAAACCTGACATGCAGTGATGCACAATCTGTGAGTGTGATAATATAACTTTTGTTATTATTAATTAATAACCAAAAACTACAAATAAATTAATGAACAAATGCATTTATTTATTTATAGAATTAATCATTATTAAACATGTAAAAATCGTAATAAATATTAGTGAAAAAAATGGATCGATCAATGAAAATTAAATGGATTTACAACTTTTTTTAAGTTGTAGCAAACAATTTTTATGTGCGGAATTTAAACAAACCAATTAAGTTGAACATTAAAAAATTTATTTGTTTGTTTAATATCAGCCCATTTAAATTGTTTGCAACCACTTACCTAATTTTTAAAAAAAAATTTCAGTTTACATCCTGTCAGGAATATTTAGCACAATGATTTGATTATATATTAAAAGACTTAAAGAAGAATTATTAATCCTCCTTTGAATTTTTTTTTCAAATATTTCCCAAATGATGTTTAACAGAGCAAGGGAATTTTCACAGTATGTCTGATAATACTTTTTCTTCTATTTCGGCTGTAATAAAATCAGATATAATTTAGAAAAAAACATTTTAAGGTTAAAATTATTAGCCCCTTTAAGCTATATTTTTTTCGATAGTCTAAAGACCAAACCATCATTATACAATAACTTGCCTAATTACCCTAACCGGCCTAGTTAACCTAATTAATCTAGTTAAGTCTTTAAATGTCTTTAAATATCACGTTAAGCTGTATAAAAGTCGTGAAAAAAATATCTAGTAAAATATTGTTTACTGTAATTCTGACTTCAACTGTATTTTTAAATATTTATATTTTGCATTTTGATCAGTTGTCAGTAAAAAGTTTTAATCATTTAAAATATACGCAGAAATACAGTTACAAGTGATATTTTAGTATGACACAAATATGACAATTTACAGACAGGTTACAATGGATTATTTCAACGATTTTTACATTTTATTTTAACAAAAATTATTTGAAACATTACAGTAAACATTTTAATTGCATTTAATCTGTTTTATATTTGTATAAAACTAATATATGTTTATTTTGATGCACGCTAAATATTTTTATTTACTTTTACTCTAAAAAATGAAAACTTACACTTTTGGGGTTTAGCATCACATAATATTATCCCTATGGTCCGTCCTAGTTCATATTGTGACGTAAATCCTTGTATTCCTATGATGTCGCCACAAGTATTTTAATACCAGTAAATTTTGACCTTGTGGGGACATTTTTTTTTGGTCCCCATGAGCAAAATGATTCATAAATCACACAGAATTAAATATTTTGAAAATGTCAAAATTCAGATTGTTTCCTGTGAGCTGGGTTTGGGCTAGGGAAATAGAATATACAGTTTTTTTTACAGTATTTAAATTGTTATATCTATTTAAGGTCTCCATAAAGATATCTGTACAACTGTATGTGATAAGTGTGTGTATTAAGTACAAGGCTATACACTGCAAATTTCTAAACAAATTGCATTAATAAAACAATTCTGATTGCAAATAAATTTTACTTTCTTGCATCAGTTAATTGGGAAGACTGATTATCCAAATGATTTTAGTCAAGGACATTAAAACATTGTGACTTTGGGGCATGGTGATCAAATCATGTGATCTAGGAAGTCTAAGTAGCGGGCAGTCAGAAACACAGTAACAATGACAATCCAATTTCATGCTTTGCTGTAGGCTGCTGTATTATTTGCAAGCATATAACAATCATTTATACAGTGATTTATAACAAATAAGCTGTATTCTTATGCGGTTCCACATATGCTGCTAGTCATTTCATTACTTTATTAGATGGAAAAAGTGCTGGGCTTTGTGCCCACCGTCTCAGACAAGAGACAGATGTTAAATCCATCCACCTAGACAAGAGAAGCACATTTAAACAGAACTAGTCTTTTCATTAGGTGCTTTAGAGGCATTTATAAAAGAAAATTAAATGAAATACTAGAAGACACACTTTAAAGAAATTAAAGGCTTACCGATAGCATTGTAACTTCAGTTTAAATCAAAGATTAGTATAGGCAAGTATAACAGTTTCACCAAAGGGAAACCACAAATACATATCAAAATGGTAATATGTTGGATAATCATCATGTGCTTGCTCTCAGAGAGAGACCAGTGTGTCCTTGTCTCTCTTTAGAAACAGGTGCTAAACCCTCAGGGATTTCATACCCCAAGCATCATGAGGCAAAATGCATGCAAATGTGACGCCAGAAAGGTATTTACACCTGTACGCATATTTAAATCTATACCCAGAGGACACATAGCCTAACCCTGTCTCTGCTTGTGTAGATTGATTTAGCATTGGCTTATTGAGCTGAGGCCATGCACTTCAACACTGATGGCCAAGATAAGCATGCTGGAGCCAAAGCATCACTGAAACTCTATTACGTCCTGCTATTCTGTCTACATTATTCCAAACGTAACTGTAAACAAAGCACTGAAACAGAACTATCATTCTGGATCTTAATAAACTGCACGTTTATCATCAGGGAACAGTATTGAATTTCCAATCTGAGTTGTTTTTAGCCTTCATCTATTATGCCTGTCTTGATTTTAATTAGCCCGAGGGAGCAACAGAGGATGCCTGACATTTATCAAAGGAAAAGTCTCTTGATAATTGTAGATATTTTTTTTACTTGGGATGCACAAACTAATCATGAATCTCTGCTCTTTTATTACAAGGCATGTATGTGTGATTCACTGATTATTAATATTGAATGCATGAACAGACACATTACATTCACAGTGTTTCTACACACATTCAGGATAATGTAATTTTTTGTGATGTCTATGTTGCTCTGTGGATCCAAATATACATTGAAATATACTTTCATGTGAATAATCTTCTAGATGATGCTTTGCTTTACTTTACTTGAAATAGTATATGCTAACAAATTACTGCATGCATTATGATAGATCTATTAAAAAACATATTTGACTGTTTTTCTTTTCTTAAAATGGCTTAACTTGAAGTGCTGTAAATAAAAATTGGGGAATTTATAAAGTACCTTAAAAAATTCCCTAATTTTTATATGATAGGACATTGTTGCCATATGGCAAGTACTCGATTTGAGTCCTCTTCATTTATTGGGTTTTACTGTGCTCAAATTGCTTCGTTTACTCAAATGGATTAAGTTCACAGTACTCATTATGGTTAGTTTTTGAACTTAAATGGTTTGTTGCAATCGGTTTCCTCAAACGGTTTGAGTTACCTGAACTATTTTGGGTTTTACAGTATACTATAGTAACATACATCAGATTCCAGAATAAGTGTCTGCAGTAAGGCTGATGTTGATGGTTATGTAAGTGTTGATATGAAGTGATATGTAAGTGATGACTTACTCCTGATATATTTGAAAATATTTGCTATTATTATTAATGAACAGTAAAGTCTAAATAATGGCAATTCTGACTTAACTCATTTTAACTCATAACAATACTATAGACCTTTTTCTTGGAACGCAAAATTACCCATTATGCTTTGCGTGTATGCGCAAGGAGAATGCGAAGAACTTCCGGTCAGCAGCTGATGCGTGTAAACAGTCACATATGGACAGCTTTGAAACGATAGTTTTAATCTATTTTACGTGGTTTTATCCTCTTTGAACTAATACTGTTGTCCATCAGCACCATCTCCTGGACCAATCATTTAAAGAAATGCGATCTAATAGGATGGAAAACAGCTGCTGTGAGGCATTTTCCCCTCGTTGTCAGACGGCATCTTCTGCAGTTTAAATAAAGCCTCATCATCGTTAAAGTCAGCATTTTCTCTTTATTTCAAATATATAACCAGCCCAAACAAATGTAATTCACCAAAATGTTTGACACACACACGTAGCCTGTACTGTGCCATTGACACACTGATTTAATAACTGTGACAAAATGAAAATAAAGGCTAGTGTCATTTCGAAATGACAGAAAAACACAAACTGTGGTGAATACAACACACGAAATAAAACACAAACGGCTCGCGATTAGAATGAACAACAAATCAGCCAGCAGAGTATCAATAACCGACTTTTACCCTGGTTTGCTCTCTCTCTCTCTCTCTCTCTCTTTCTCTCTCTGTCACTCTCTGTGTGTGTATGTGTGTGTGTTAAAGAGCCGCTGAGCTAACAGCTGACAGGCCGGGAACGCACACATACACACTGTATTTCTGACGGCAGACACGTGAACTAGGAGAACGTTTTTCTCGTATTTCTGACGCGCTTGAACCACATGTGATGTGACAGATTATAACGGCTTTAACAGACACATTTCTAAGTTGTTTGTCACAAAAACACTCTGTTATCCATTAAAAACTTTATTGAAACCCATTTTCGGAGCGCAAATTACCAGTTGTACACGCTGTAAACGGAAGTTTTTAGCATTCTACCGGAAGACGCTGGTCGCTATGGCACCCTTCATGCAGCAGCCATGAAAAAGGTCTATAGTGAGCTTAGTCAGGGGTTCAGTCAGGTTGCAGGAATGCTGTTATCACCAGAATATCACATGGTTGGAAAAGTTTATCAGCCAATCAGATTCCAAAACCAGACAGAACTGTTGTGTGTATAAGCTGTGTATAATATACACATATACATATAATTATATTTACAAATGACCTCTAGAATCTTTTTAAGTATCATAACTTGACATGTGTAGACCATGTATTTATACATTAAACTCTTTGCAATAGTAATCGTTCCTTGCACACATTCATGCCTTGTCTCGTGAGAGCTCATGTTTCACGCTGTATGTCTGTCTGTACATACAGTAAAGCAATTTGCTGAAATAGCATCAGGGTAGAGTTCCAGTCATATTTCTCATGGTGTCACAGTTATAGACCATGATAAAAGACGACCAACAAGACTCCTGGTGGTATCACAAGAGACTAAATATAAGCGGTTTAACGACTGGCCTGTGTAAAATAAATCTGCAAATGAGGCAATCATAGAGGAATCTCACACTGCCTCAGCATGAACCAGGAGTAGGTTGACGGTTCTATGGGAAGACTGAGTATATTTCAGCATCCTGCCCTAAGGATGACAGTGTACAAACCTGTCCAGGCTTGGAAGGCAAGCAATGCAATAAAGTTCACAGAATATGAATATGACACGTGCAGTGTGTAAAACCAGTGGGGCATTCAATCTCGAATTAGCTACTCCTCGAAACCCATCAGTGCAGCAGTTGTTTCACATCCATTCACTGTCATCAGTAAGTGTTTGTGCTTCACTCATATTACAAGCATATTGAATATTAGGTTTCTCTCCACAGAAATTTTGTCTAAGAAGAGATTGTTGTGGTTGATTTTTTTTTTTTTACTCTGCCAGAGGGCACCATTGATAAGTAAATTTCTTGACAGACGAGTGGTTTTGCATCGGTTAATTTTGTATTAGATATAGTGCCAAGTTGGGATGTGGTTATTGCCATTGAAAGAGATGCTCCTTTAACTGAACAAAATCAGCGACATTTCAGCAGCAACCAATAATGATTACAACTTTAATGGCATAATTAAATTAATCAAGGAAATGTTCACACCAAATAGATGAATCCCCAATCTCCAATTGTTTACATCTTTATTTAAAGTAATACCTCGCGCTAATTTAAAGATTGCATCTTAAAAGTCTTTTAAAATTATTTTTTTACCCAACCAATATTAAAAAACTTCTTTAGATTGTTTCATAATATGCAATGCAACATTTTTTCTTACAATATCTGAAATGGTTGGTTCAAGGGATCTGTCTCTGTAAACCCCTACTTTCTGAAAGTCTACTCTGGTTCAGATTGGTCAAAAGACCAGGGGCCTCATGTACGAAGACTTGCGTGGAAATCTTACTAAAACATTGCGTACGCACAAAGCTGTAAATGTGCGTACGCAGAAAAAAATTCAGATGTATGAAACACTGCGTACGCCGAATCTCACGCATATTCTTTTGTACATCTGAATGAACGTGAAACTGAGCGCAACATGCACGAGCACAAAACCCCTCCCTGCCTCCTCCCCCGTATGAATATGCTAATGACTATGCTAATGGCAAAACCCAACGAAAAAGCAACGGCAAAATCAAGCAAAAAGAGAAACTTTGAACAGAATGTGAATTGGAGGTGCTGCTTTCGGAGGTAGACCGGAGAAAAGCGGTGTTATTTGCAAGTTTGTTCTCCGGAATTAACAACAAAAGAAAAAAATAGAGTGGGAGAGTTTAGCTGATGCAGTCAACACAGTTGGGTCTGAACATCGCACTGAGTGCATTTAAAAAAGAAATAATGTGGTTTATAACTGAAAAATGTTGTAGTATCCTTAGCAGTCTCAGTGGCGCACCTCATAAGAAGCATGTGATCACGTACTGACATGTTCGAGCATAATCTCGGCTCGAATCCAGCGTTTAATGAATTCTTTATTTTTTTCCCCGCTACATATCAGATTTTGCCCACTATTTATCAAGAGAAAGACAAGTAGGAATCATCAATAAGTTTGTGCATCATATTTTATTTGCACATTTATTGAATGGAAATGTTTCTGATTCACGCATGCAAATTCATCTTCAGATAGTGTCTTTATAGCAATGTGCGTGCGGTAGATCGCTCAGATTACATTGGGAAAACAGGCGACCGCTGCAAATTGTGCTTTAATGTTTAGCTGGTCAACTGTATGGTATGGAAATCTTACATACCTACTATATGAACCCGTCTCATACAGCTGCCATTGCAAGGATCAGACACTTTGTAGAAAAGAATTTAACACAACTGCCTCTAGGAGTCGCCAATGGAAATAAAACAGACACGCACAAAAAATGTGCGTACGCCTGCCAGAAAGCTGCCGTGAACCTGCGCACATTCCCACGTTCAGTTCATTGTTAGTAAATCCAAACGTGAGCGATTCTGAGCGTGAAACCTGGCGTACGCAAAGTTTTTGTGCGTACGCAGCGTTGATACATGAGGCCCCTGGGGTGTCAAACTCCAAACTGTCAAACTGTGTTCCGGAAGGTGGCGCAGCCCTGCACAGTTTACTTCCAACCACATAAAGATGTCCCATAAAAATATCAGATAAAGACACAGAGAGCTCTATTGTGCAGAGCTGAGTTTGACACCTGTGTAATTAGACTGTTATCATTGGTCTACCACCCATGTAGTGTGAACTCGGCAAAACAGGATGCATCAGAAACCAACTGCCTAATGCATATCTGAGATTTGGTGTAGATGAGCAATTCCAGCGTTATGAATGTGAAATGTACAGTTAAAACCTTAAACATAAATTCACAGAGAGAAAGTATATGTTAACAATATATTGAAACATCTGCAGATGTATAAACATGTTTATATTTTCCAAAACTCTTAACCACAGAGTTATGAGATCAGAAAAATCATCAATCTAAAACATATTTTCTGTTTTAAATAAGGAAAATAAACATGCGTTATAGATGTTTCAGACATACTTTGCAGAAATTCTGTGAATGAAACCGCACAACCAAAAAAAAAATTATGCTAATCTAAAGAATAAAAGTTGTTTCACTATGAAAAATTATTGATTTTATTTTATTTAACATTTTTGGCTTTATGCGTAAAATGCTTCATTATGGATATGTTTCTCTCCATCATGGATTTGACAGACATGAAAATTAACACTTGTACGACTTTGGTAAAACAAATATAATTGTTTAAAATCATTTCTAAAGATATTTTTGCTGTAGCATACTGTAAAATACAAGTCTACACAAAAACACTTAGAAAGGATTTCGCTTTTTGGTAAAAACTTGACTTTTTTTCATGGCAAGGTTGACATTTGCATGGAATTGCTCAGATACTGTTTGTAGGCAGCCAGTTAGGACCATAGGATTTTTCAGGCAATACTCAACAAACGCATAATAAAAAAAACCTAAAACACAGAGACTTGTGACCTACCTGAGCTCTGTAGTGTATTCAGGTGCACAGCACGCTGTCCTGCCTATGAAGACAAAGTAGAAACAAAAAGTTTGTCTTTAACTAATAACAAAAGAAGAAGATAAAAATAAGTTTTTTTAGACATACACTGAACCACTGTTTGAAGTGCTATGGTAAATAAATGTATTATCATTTGGTGTTGTTTTGATATTGGCATATTGTAATATATACAATACAGTGGGGGAATTGAATTGAATTGAAAGTATTGAACAAGTCATGATTTTCCTGGGAATGACAGCTTAGAGACGTCTCACGTATGGAGAATGAAGTCACATACATTGATCAGGTGTGATTTTTTTTTCACAGACTTCAACAGAGTGTAAAAATCTTGGTTCTGTGGGTCTGGTCTATCAAATCTGATTTTTAATTTGTATTTTTTTTATTTGATTCAAGTCAGGTGATTGGCTGGGCCATTCTACAGCTTGATTTTCTTTCTCTCAAAGCATTTGTGAGTTTGCTTGACTGTGTTTTAGATCATTGTCTTGCTGAAATGTCCACCCTGGTTTCATCTTCATCATCCTGATAATGTAGATGTTGCACTGAAGCAGCTGATATACATTAACACCAATGGTTTAAAACTCAGTTCCTGGAAAGCCACAGGTCTGAACAGTTTAGCTCCAACCACCTCAAACTCACACCTCTCTAGTAGTCTTGAACACCTTGATTAGTTGGATCAGCTGAGTTTGATTAGGGTTGGAGCAAAACTGTGCAGAGCTTCGGCACTCCAGGAACTGAGTTTGAGATTTACACTGATGAAGGGCAGATGGTTGCTGAATATCTGAGTGATTTCTGCTGCTGTCTGGACTTTCACTGCCTTTTTTTACACCTCCCTTTCTTCAAGTGTTCAATACTTTACACTGTGCCATTTCATTTTATTACACATAACTTCATTTGTAAACTAACTAGTTGTGTTTTCTTGGCATATATTGATTTCTTTGTTTTTTTTTTTGACAAAAATAGTGATGTGTGCAATACTTATTTTACCCACTGTACATAAAAGTACTATGGCATGACAATTTGACACCATTAGGGTACCATTTTCTTTTTTGTAAGAACATGAAAAATAAATCTAGTGAGCAATAACATAGACATAAATTAGTATGTTAACAGAGACCTATTTTAAGTTCACGTGATTTGAACAGATCGGTGGTATATGTTTTGATGTTTTTGATCTTAGTATGCAGCTGGCATCCTTAGTCAGAGGTTTTCTCCCTGGAGGAAGGTTATCAAAGGTATCCGTTTCGTTTACGACGGGAAAATGTCACATAAAGACACAAGTTAACAGTGTGGAGCAGCTTTGCTTTAGCAGTGCTTCAGCTTAGATCAAAGCACACTTTCATTACCATCAAGCCATTAGACTGCTACTGTGTGAGTGTGATGAAGGGAATGAACTTTTCTCTCATCCTGACTACAGCGAAAGACAGGACAGCATGCTTGCCGTGCAAACAAGTTGTAAATACAAATGAGATGCAATTTCCTCAAACCTTCAGACTTCAGTAAGACATCTATCTATCTATCTATCTATCTATCTATCTATCTATCTATCTATCTATCTATCTATCTATCTATCTATCTATCTATCTATCTATCTATCTATCATGGCTGGAAGATATAGCAGTATACCGGATAATTGGACAATCTTAATAGATGTTTTTTTATCCCATATATACATTATACCACAACATGTAAATAAGTGGGTGTGGCTAACTTATGTGCAGTGTGTTTGTGTGGGTGAGTCAGGGGAATCCCCTTCATCTGAAACTAAGGGAAAGGTTGGTAATTTGTCAAAAAACCCTTGTATATTTATATTTTCATTTTAAAGATTTTCCTGTTATGCAAGTGGCATTTATTTCATACCTGTTAAAATGTGTATGGAGGAATGTTTATAATGATGAATTTGTCCACACAACTGTGAAAAGAAGTGACAGTGGAAAGCATGCAGTGGAATTTGTTGTTATGGAAAGGGTAATCCAAGTTCATATTTTATCTACCATATTTATCAAGATCCAAATAAAGGGAAAGGGTAATGCAATTATGTTAAATGCTTTTATTTTAAAGTATTTACAATTATTTATTATATAATGTAATTTTTGTTAATTGTTTTTCAGAATAACTGGACTATATAAATAACTATTCTTTAAAAAAAAATTTTTTATACTTTGGTGTTTTGTTTTTTAACATCGCAGTCTGAAAGTCCCACCTTCATTACTTTCGCCTAATTAAGCCTGCAACATTTGAGTGTATGAATAAAATGTCCAACAGTGCTCTGTCAAGTTAGTTTATTTTTTCAGGTATTTTTAGTGCACTTTTGGGTTTAAAACCTCCCGAATGGCATGTATATACACAAATTGGGGTAAAAGAACAACAACAGGGAATTGATTAAAGTCTGCATGAACTGGAAGTTCTTGTCGACTTAATGCAACATATTTCCAACTGAAATGGAATACTAAATAGAGGTCAGAGTTTGATTATAGCCTATATCTCCTGCTCACCACCTCTCACTCACAGAGAAAGAAAATGTTCAGAAGGAGTGTTTGATACCAATATTCTGCCTATAAATCAACATCAACCTGATGTCTTAAGAGACTTTTTTAGTTACTTAAATTTTTTATTATTATTTAAAGCAGACCATTTTAAATGTGATGTAAGTTAAGTGTTCACCTCAAAGACAGAAAACTTACAAAGTAAATTATGTCATGATTTCACATGGACTTCTGCCCAAGCCAACACACTCACAAAGAAATGCCATCCCAGAGTGGAAGCAATAGTCTGCTCTGGATATGTAAAGTTTAAGTTAATATATTCTCTGAAATCATGAAGAAGTTAAGATATATTGTGTCCTGTTTTGTTATTTTAGTAATATATCTGCTGATCAGTTTAAAATAAAAATTTTAGCCTCTTCTCAGTTTGTCTGGCAAGGTCAGATATCAGACTGAAGATTATTTTAAATCAGATAAAGCAACCCTGTGTTAGTTTAATAGTTTTTTTATTGATTTTATAAGGATTAAATCTGTATTGTTTATTATCTGGCAATTATATATTACCTTAAATATTTATATAATAAAACAGCAATTAATTACACTACGTAAAAATGACATTAATTGCTTTCAACATATGGAAACATATTCATAAGGGACTTATTTGCATATGCAGGGCCCTCATTACAGTTTCTCGTGATTATTTATATCCTTTAAAGGGCTATAATGAGGGCAAAGTACAACTCAACCACTAAAATGAACAATAAGTGCAGCACGAGATAAAGCCGTAATTATACCACACACTTTCACGTGATTCAAGACGTTAATGTAACACACAGTAGCATTAAGTGACCGCGGCGCCAAAGCGTCAACACGCACCAGAATTTATTCGCGTGTCGACTTGCAGTCTATCTACTAAAATTAACATTAGGAATGCATATCATATTATAGCCAAGTACACATTTAAAATGATATATTTATTGTGTGCCGTTTACAAACTCGACCTGTGAACTCCTTCAATACCCAGTTACGTCAGGAGTTTTTCCATCATATCCTTCAGTATAAATCACAGCCAGTTTGACTGTTTGTGGTCTGACTGAAAACAAATGTCAACAAAGCAAACTGCGTTTACATACCTCGCCGTAAACTCCGACAGAGAAACCAAAGACAGCAGCGATAGAGAGAATCCCTCTGATATCCATCCTGTCATTGACTGTCCGTCCAGCACAACTGTCCCATCATCGCTGTCCGCGGTCATACGGACTAAAAGTGGGACGCCTTCGCGCCTCAGAATGTTTAGAAATGTTTGTTACAACCAAAGAAACAAAAACATTTTCAGAAAAAAAGCAAGCAATGTTGTGTAAAAGTTCTAAAAGTCCAGCGACTGGATTGACACCCCTCTCATGTTGAGGTCTGCGTGCACTGTGAAGTGACGCTACTGAGAGAGAAGAGACGCCGCTCCGGCAGCCTCGACCAGCACACACTACAGATCATTACAGGGCATAAAGATTTATAGAGTAGAGAGGCTGTGCCTTACGGCAAGCCGTTTTAACAGTTTGTGACTTTTAATTATATTTCGTGTGTGTTGGTTAAGTATTCATTAAGATGGCCAATACATAATGTCAATATTGACCAGCATAGTCATAATGGTATAAACATTTTTGCATTATAGGTTATGAAAATACAAAAACTACATTATTATTGGGTGGACAAAGTAAAAGATGGGAAAAATAATAAAGATAATATGATTGACAGCTATTAAGCGAATAAATAGTTTAACATTATTACAGGGTTCATATACCTATTACAAAAATTCCATGACTTTTCCACAACTTTAAAGTAAATTTTCATGACCTAATGTTTCATGTAAAGTCTACATATACTTGGTAAGGAAAACAAAGCACGTTCAAAATTATTACGGCTTATCATAAAACATGCAACAATCTATTTAGTTTACTTTAAATACATTTTCATTTAGAATTGATTTAGATAATGCTTACAGCACTAATAATGTGAGAGCCTGTTTTTGGCCAAAGACAGAAAAGAAGTAAGGACAACTAACCTATATTCAAGTATACAGATATTTGTTCAACTAATTTCCATGACAAAACTTTGTGGGGTTCTCTGTTTTTCCAAAACTTGTCCAGGCTTGGAAAATGCCATGTCAAAATTTCATGACTTTTCCAGGTTTTCCATGACCGTATGAACCTTGTTATTAGCATAATTCACTACATAACATGGGCCATAGATTTCGTAACTGGCATGTTTTCTTATACCCAAGAGAAGCAAAAAATAAATAATTAAAAAATAAGTAAAATAATAATAATAATAATAAAATAAATAAATAAATGTTGACTTTAAGTTGGGAACAACAAACACATTTTCTCTAGGACTTCTCAAATTATTTAGGCTATACCCAAAGCATGTCCCTGATCTCCAAATCCATGATTTACACCCACATGATACATCTTTTTTTTCTATATCTGTCACACTGTAATCATTTATTTAATTTTCTGACAAAAAAATAGTGTTTTAATTAGTTTTCCTTTAGCAGCAATGCATTTTCATGGATTTACATTTTCATTTAAAATATTTAAAAGGCCAATCAGATGTAATGAGATTAAAAGAAGTGTCAAAGGTCCTTCTTCTAAGAATCAGTGGAGCAGATCAAAATGAATAAATGCGAATCAGCTCCCAATGAATTCACCAATACATAACATAGTTTCATAATTTCCACAAGTGTGTGTTGTTTTTATAAACAAATTGAAAACAGGTTAATCAAATTGAAAATAAAATTCCAGTTTTTATCTCCATAAAATTGAATGAATATCTGAATAACTCAACAGACCCTCACCCTTGTTCAACCAACCAAAAATGTGCCTAAAGCTTAAAAACAAAACACAGACCTTTTGCAGTCACATTGCAAATATGAAACAGGCAGTCAAAGAATTCCTGCTCTTATCCATAACTCCTGAAAGCTCCCAAACATGGGACAAAGGGCACTTTTGATAAGCTGGATATTATTAACCACTTGGGCAAATAAATTATTATTTTTAACAGTCTTAGCTTTCACCAATTTCATTTTAAATCCCAGAGCCTAAAGCTCGCCTTGTTCTATATTGTTCACCTGTGTACACAGACACTTGAATGCACCTCATTCCACATTGTTCGGCATTCAGTAGAAGTCAACAATTACCTCAATCCCTTACTCATAACTGAATAAAAGATCAAAGCCTTCTTTAAACCCCACCACAAATAAACACATTATTCAAACGATTAACATAAGTCGTCTATGCTGTAACTCATTCATCTGGGCGATCAGTTTACTTCTAGATACATAAAGAGAAACATCCATAACATTCAATCTTGCAAAGAGGGGAATTGTTGAACCATTGATTTGATGCAAACAGCCATGTTTATTTGGCAAAAAAAAAAAATGCATCACATATCAGGGAGATATAAGAAAACAAACAAAAAGAAATGATAAAAGTTTGCTTTCTCTTATCAGATGCTCAGAGGTGTGGCTGCATTGCTTGGCATTCGTCCACACTCTGTTCTGGGGTGTTAATCTGGTTTATACCCACGTTATAGGGATTGGAGACTGGAATGGCTTACTTTATATAGTGAATAAGACACATTAAGTTAAAAGGTCTTCCCTTTAGCCACCTTGAAGTAATTGAAATGAAATCTCTGAGACATTTATTTGGTTGATTATGTGAGCCATTAGCTATTTTAGTTCAGCTTAGATCAAAGTATTTCGGGCTGTTCATTGTTACTAGACTGATTTCAGAAGTTTGTTCTGTTGACAACTGTCCAAAAGCTGAAAAATGTTGTGACTAAATAACACGGCATTTCCTTTGGGGCTTAAACACATTAAACTGTAGATAATCAGCCCAAGGAAATGGTGGGCAGTGTTATCACAGGATGGCCATGGTTAAACTGCATTAAGGGAACTAAACCATGGTCATACAGTGTTTCAAATCATGTCAGTCAAAACATGAAAACTATCATCGGAAAAGAACGTGTATTGTTTATTATTAGATATGCTTATAACTACGTCATTTTGATCTTTAGGCAAGGCTCTCTCTGATTTACTTTGTAATGGTATGTAACTCGATCCAGCACTGAGTACTTCTGCCTTGATCTCAATTTTCTGATAATTGAGAATGGCTGAGACTAATTATATTGTGGACGCAACATGAAACAGGAAGGAAAATTGTTAAATAAATAAACCACCAGGTTTCACAGGTCACAGCTCAGTTATGCAGAGATGTAGAAAAATAAAACCAAAAACCAATTCAATAGATGTTAGATTAGAGGCCAAGGTGAATTTTACGTGAATGAAAACGAGGCTGTGCGGGATAGACTTACAGTCTTTACAATGGCACACAATGTAGAAAGGTCCTTGATCTCACAGATTTTTCAAAACCATTTTATGGAGATTTTGTTTGCTTGAAGTTTAATGAACAGAATAATCCATTGAACACACTGTACTTCAGTCCCACACATCCTCATTTTAATTAATGGCAGAAATTAAACATGCCACTAATGCTCTAATTAAGAACACTGAAATTATCTGAGGAAGCAATTTAAACATTAATAACAGATTCTGATTATAGAGGGCATTACTAAAAACAAAATCTGTTATCATGCACTTGTCACTGACATTGTTTCAACTGTTGAACACAACACGATATGAGTGAGTAAATGAAGAGAGATTTACACTCACTGGCCACTTTATTAGGTACACCTGTCTAACTGCACGTTGATGCAAATTTCTAAGCAGCCAATCACATGGCAGCAACTCAATGCATTTAGGCATGTAGACATGGTCAAGATAATTTGCTGCAGTTCAAACAGAGCATCAAAAGGGGGAAGAAAGGTGATTTAAGTAACTTTGAAAGTGACATTGTTGTTGGTGCCAGACGGGCTGGTCTGAGTATTTCCGAAACTGCAAATTTACCAGGATTTTCATGCACAAACATCTCTAGAGGTTTGCAGAGAATGGTCAGAAAAAGAGAAAATATCCAGTAAGGGGCAGTTCTGTGGGCGCAAATGCCTTGTTGATGCCAGAGGAGAAAGGCCAGACTGGTTTGAGCTAATAGAAAGGCAACAGTAACTCAAAAATTTCCATCATGGATGTGCAGCCAACAAATCTGCAGCAACTGTGTGATGCTGTCATTTCAATATGGACCAAAATGTCTGAGAAATATTTCCAGTACCTTGTTGAATTTATGCCATGAAGTATTAAAGTAGTTCTGAAGAAAAAAGGGGTCCAACCTAGTACTAGTAAGGTATACCTAATAAAGTGGCCGGTGAGTGTATATTCTTGGTAGACCCTCAATTTATGTGAACAAAAGAACCAGTTTTCATACTTTGTTCTGTTTTAATGGAATGACTTACAGGAGTGCAGTCAGGAAATTGTATCAATCTCCAAAAGAGCTTTCAAACCCTTATTAATGCAGCTTATTTGCTTTGCGTGCACCTGCTGATGTGTTTTTGGCAGAGTTTGAGTCCCAGTGACAGTTTCATTGCTGTTTTTCAGTAAAGCTTTCCACACCCCTTTCTCATCAATTGGCTGGCCCAGTGCACTCAGACTAAAGTCCCCATTAACAGAGCTCAAATAATAAAAATGTCCTTTCTTTGATTAATCTATGAAACTGCACTTTTAGATCAGACTTCCCTGGTTGGGAAATCGTTTCAATAAGGTGTTGACTTCCTCAGGCAAAAGTCGACCTGCCTTCCTTCCTTGGTTCCTCATCTTCGCCTGTAGAATGTGAAATTAAGAAAAAATGTTAAATTAAAATAATCACTGCTCTTTAGTAACAATTCATATCCAATAAATGCACTTTACAATTGAATTGGATTGGATAAGACATAGGCAACACTAAATACAGAGGCAAACATTTTTAAACTTATCCACTTTTAGAGGTAGTTAAAAATACATTTTTAATTGCTTTCGTATCGAAAATACTCATGTGGTCTGATGTGTTTAAACAGCTACAACTAAACCACCTCTTTTCTGTTGTTAACCCTCAAACTGTATTTATTTCCTGTTAACTAACTGAGGCATGAGGCCTTGAGACGAAGAACCATAAAAGCGCATATTTTCAAATTTTGAGTAATTCGATTTCTTTCATTTGGATTGGGAACATAATGTTATGTATTTTTATTTTACTTAAAGATAGACAAAATAAGCTTCTAAGAAGATAACATTTTCAGTGTCAGTATTTAACATTAGTAGGGTTAGGATTTTTTCCTGGTTTTTATTCTCCTTTTTGATTCAAATATGGTTTCCCAGCATCCCTCAAAGCCTTCCTTACTCTGTCCTTCCATTTGATAATGTCGGCTCTTCTTTTATTGCTGAGGATTTGCCTTTTAATAATCGCCATCTCTATTCTTTATAGTGGACATAAATGTTTTTTTCACGTGAAGCTATTTCTGTACACAAAGTTCACACATACAAATAATGTCACATGGTTCTTTCATTGTTTATTTTTTTCACACACTCAACTGTGTATTTGGGGTCTATATGACCCCAACAACTTAAACTGTAACTGTAAAAAACATAAATACATTTAACCTACACAAATTATATGTCTTTTGTTTACTTCTCTGCTTTACATTAATGGTGTGTTTGGGAAGATACAAAATTTTTACCCACTTTACCACAAAAATCCTCAACTACACCTTTCCGCTGTATGTGAAATATTACATTTACTTCGGCTTGGTCTCTATTTCAGAGATCACAACAGCTGAAGGAACCGCCAACTATTCCAGCACATGTTTTAAGCTGCAGGTGACAGAGTATTAGGAAACACCCACACTCTTTCACTACGGCCAATTTAGTTTATTCTATTCACCTACAGCGCATGTCTTTGGACTGTGGAGGAAACCGGAGCAGCCGGAGGAAACCCACACCAACACAGGGACAACATGCTAACTCCACACAGAAATGCCAACTGGCCCAGCGGGGACTCAAACCAGTGACCTTCTTGCTGTGAAATAACCACTGAGCCACCATGCCGCATGAAATATTACATTTTTATGGGAAAAAATCAGTTCAAAAAGTATGTACATTTATTTAAGTTGTTTTTGGATATTGATTTATGTGTTAGGTGTAGAATTCTGCTATCTGTTGGTTAGTGATGAACTTTAAAGAGCTACAGTTTACAAAAGCCATGCCAGTCTGTGTTTGTAAGTCAGCGAGCATGAATTTTCTATTGTACATTTGTGCTCTAGTACCAGGTCTTCATTTATGATTGGAAATTTTTTGATTTATTGATTGCCTTTTTTGTTTTAAAAAAAAATAAAATAAAAAATAAAAATCCATTTCTCAATTATTTCAATTAAGGTCATATATTTTTACATACGTTCAGGAAGATAATGATGAAATGTCTTACAAAACCTTGTTTTAATAAGATAAAAGGAAGCATTTTTAATAAGAAGAAGTTGACTGGGGTCAAGTATACACCTTGATGAATTTGGTGGTTAAAGGTGCAGTGGTTGATTGTCTTCAGAAACCTTTTTTTGTGCTGGTTGAAAGTCTCTTCACATTACAATAGTAATGAATTAAATGATCTAAATGTATTATTTTATTCAGGGTAAAACACAAGACTAAAAATTGTTCATCCAATTAAAATTTGTCAGGCCGACAATTCCCATAATTCTGGTAAGTAGCCCAAACAAATGTAGATTTGTACATCTGCCCACCCTTTCACGGTGATCCATGAAGTATTAGTTTTAGACAGGTTATGTTTTAAAAGTATTTTAGTCATGCAAAGCCATGTAGACTCTGTTGTTTTTCCAATGGGTTACAGGGCTCGAAATTAACTTTCTTACTTGGTAGCACCGGTGCTCCCAACCTGAAATATTTAGGAGCACCAGAAAAAATGTAGGAGCACCAGAAAAAAATTAGGAGCATCCACCAAAAATGAATGATATACTTGACAAGTTGTATATTAAGGGATTTATTGTATTTGAAAACAACATCAATTGGGACTAACAAAAACCAGAAACAACTATCTAACTAATGCTGTGATGACTTAATATTTGTGCAATAATTCCAAAATGAATGTTGAATAATTATAAAATATTATTGATGATGATGATGACAATAATACTAATAATGAATTATATTTCTCATCATCATGATGCCTTGAATGTGCTTTAATGAAAGTTATCTGCTATATAAAGTCCTACTGTTAATTTATGAAAAATGAAAAATAAATTGATGGTTTGCATCAAACACAAATGAAGCATTGTAGTAAGAAATATTTATGTTGTACTATTGTTTTTATATGCATGCCAATTTAATAAATAATATTTCTGCTACAAAACAAACGAAATAATATAATAAATCATTTAATCCAATGCTGAAAGCTGCAAAGCAGTCATCAGTAATTAAATAGAAAAATAATATACACCTCAAGAAAGAACGGACAAAAGAAAGGAAGAAAAGCCTCACGTTTAAAAGTTTTGGTTTCGGTTCGTGTCGTTTTAATGCTCAGCCTCTTTATGCGCTGAATTACATTTTTCTGTGTTTGCGGGAAAGCATGCGAGTCAGCCGGCCCAATAAGAGGGGGGCAGAGCAGGATTCTCCCGATGCCCACCGGCGCAATACTGTTCTTTGTTATAACCCGCATCAGATCAAACTTAGTAAAGGCAAGCTTCTTTGGCGATGGTGTTTTAGCGGACATTTGCACTGTTGCAGCCTGCTCACGAGTAAACGTATGAAAAAGTTATGAATTGCCGTGAGATTGTGTTGGCTGAACACGCAGTGCATACAACGCATCGAGATTCAGTGTACTTTTCACTCTTCAGCCGTTTGCAATCCCCGCGGTCACAAAAGCTCCCTCCCTGTCATCTGACAGCGGAAAGTCTTGAGTGATTGACGGCTAATATGAACCAATATAGCGGCAGGGAAGAGCGAATTTACCACGTTTTTAGAAAAAACAAAACAAAAACTGGTAGCACTACAACCATAATATGCAGTCTCACGAATGCTCCCAATATATATTATGAGTCGCATAGCTTAAATTTCGGGCGCATATGCGACTAAAATGGTCGCAATTTCGAGCCCTGGGTTATATGCACAGAAGTGATGTTCAGCCACTGAAATCTCCCGGCGAAAGATTGATGTGACTATTTCAGTTTCATAAGGGTCCTTTTAAAGCATCTGTAATGTAGATTTTATTTAGTATAACAAAACAAAAGTAAATAGCGCTCTCCGCCTAGTCTGTTTTACTGAGGTGAAGTTGGTTTTATATTCACATTGGTTCAATTTTGAACATTGACAACCTGTGACACGTTCATATATTTATATGGACGTTATAACAAGTTTTGCTTGCTACAGAACTAAAAACGTGCTGGATACAATACAGTTTTTCATTCGAAATTGTAGTATTATAAAGTGCTATATAAAGTTTTCTAACTGCCAAATGACATGATCTAGTGGGTTCTCTAATGTCATCTTTATGGTGCACGTTCCTGATTTCAGGAGGCATGGCTTTGGACGGCAGGGGAGGAACTGTGTTTCAAAGATATTATGCTAACACAAAGCATTTTGGCAGATCACCTACTGCACCTTTAAGCTAATTCTTAATAGAGGATTTAAACATTGCCATGTGAAATTGTAAATTTAGTTTGATAGCAGAAAATTTTAAAAAGTGGGATCTTCTCAAGGTGTCTGTAGCATTTTCCTTTTTGTACTTCACATTCATATGCAAATGGCAGGCATTTTTTGCAATACTAGATTGAAAGATCAGGAAAAGTTGCATACATACATCCCATAAACTTTTAAATGTCAAAAAGAAATGTAAAGTGAAAGTGGAAATGTGTCTCTGTGGTTACAGGTAATCTCAATCAGAGCACAATACAAGGTAAAATAAGCATTTGAACTAAACGAACACTCTTATTCTGTAGAGGGAGATAGCAATAGAAACATGATCCCGCTAGATGCGTGTGGATGCTGTAAACACGGAAACAACAGATGAACAAAAATAAATGTCAAGCAGGAAACAGCACTGCAAACTGGGAAGTCTGTTCGCCATAACCAGGAAATGGCAGAGAAAATTTAGCTGGTTGTTCATGCTAATTGCTCATTCCTATGCATTCATCAACATCATGTTAATTATGGCCATTGAACTGCTTGTCAGCAGGTTGTTTAAAAGAGGATATCCCGAGGAGAGTGAGTTGCTATCTGCAGTACCTTTTCGACACATGTGTAGAAAGCGGTGACTTCTTGAGGGCAGAATGCATTGTTAAAGTCGTTCTGTTTCCAGCAAGCCATAAGCAATGACATCTCTGTAACGCACGTGGCCTCTGTAACAAAGATAGTGTATCACCATGAAGGGTTTAACAAAATAAAACATTTCAATATTTCTAAATAAGAAGCAACAGTCAAACTTACAATAATTTAATAAAAAAAGTAGTCATTGATATATTGAATTACTCCAATACTTGGAATTCAAGACCCCCACCCCTCATTAAAAAATGATAAAAAAAACAAATATCACACCTTTACAAATTAAAACCTCATCAGTGTTGAGATGAAAATAATATTAACTTTTACTTTGATATAAACTGTTTCATGGCGCAGTAGGTTGGCAAGAAGGTTGCTGGTTCGAGCCTCAGCCGGGTCAGTTGGCATTTCTGTGTGAAGTTTGCATGTTCTCCCTGCGTTTGCGTGGGTTTCCCCCGGGTGCTCTGGTTTCCCCCACTGTCTCATGACATGTGGTACAGGTGAATTGGGTAGACTAAAATTGTCCGTAGTGTATGTGTGGATGTTTCCCAGAAATGTGTTGCAGCTTAAAGGGCATCCACTGCATAAAACATATGCTGGATAAGTTGGAGGTTCATTCCACTGTGGTGACCCCGGAATAATAAAGGGACTAAGCTGAAAAGAAAATGAATGAATAAATTCTGTTTCATAATAATGTCATGATACTGTTGTTGACATATGAAGATTAAATATTTCAAAGGAATGCAAAAACTGAGGAGGCTCCTGTGTGACCAACTGTTTGTTGTGTATTTTAAATGCACTCATCCCTTTATTTTTGTGGTTATAATAACAAAAGATGGATGCCAGTTGACCATGTCATTGTAAAAGCAAGCCATATCATATTGTAAGGCGCTTTAACTTGTCTAAAGCTGCCCTCAGTCAGGTTGTGGTAAATTTGACTTTTTGCAGTCAAACCTCTAATTCAGAGATACTCAAACTAGGGCCCGCAGGCCAAAATTGGCCCATGGTAACCTTTGATTTGGTTGCCATCCCATCTAAAATGAGAGGAAGAATGATGAAGACGGTTTTGAGATTATCATTTGAAATTTATTGTAACCTTTTGTTTGTTTGTTTTATTGTTAAAAGCTAACTGAAATTAAATCTTTCAATTAAATATTGTAAATCAGTCAGATTTAGTTTAAATGTACGCACTGTCACATAGTGGATGGAGGACAATGCAGAGACATTAGTGAGTAAATCAAGGCAAAGGCAGATGCTTGACTAGTGTATTCAGCATTGAACTCTACTGTTGACTGTTATGTTTTTATTGCAATAAGTTATCATTTTAAAGGTTATACTACATTAGTTAACATGAATTAAAGTAAGGTTTTCTAATAATTTTTTAATATTATGAAATAAATTAGGAAATGACTCAAGGTCAAGGTCATGTAATATAGTTTTTAATTAACTTCGGCCCACGGCTCATAATGATATTTGGTTTTTGGACCATTATACGAAAAGGTTTGAGCACCTCTGCTCTAATTGGTAAATGTAAGAAAATTTGAATATGATCATTTACTGGACTGAATGCTTACATGTCATTTCCCAGACTTCACCTAATGCAATGGGAAACATCACCTTTCCCACTCAGAATTCCCACTATAGATCTCTGATTATGAAACTAAGCATTTAAACATCCCATTGGGAGGGAAGGATGGCATGAAAAGGTATATTATATGTACTGAATGTACTACACTGCTACAAAAGCAAAACATACTGTATACACATATTAGCTGACGTTCTGGCTATACAAAGAACTGCAATCAATGATATATCTTTCCTGAAGAAAATGCGTTTTCCCCCTTGACTGTTTCCAACGTAGTATTCTTCCATAAGCCTAATTATACAGTACATGATTACAAGGAATTATATCGCCAGGAATTATTAGCTGAAAAAGATGTTTGCAAATATTTTCCCAAATTACCTTAGATATTCAACACTTCGACAAAGGATAAATGAATACATACAGAGGTAATTAAAAAACCTGAGGTAAATACTGTAAATGTTGTAAAACAACAAAAAGTTAGCACAGCAATCTGCTTACTGCACATCATTAAACCATCAAGAGACTTAATAACACCAAACGATTTGTGAATATATATATATCAATACATGTTAAATAAAGAAGTTCTGACCTCCTTTCGTCATTTTACGCATAGGGACCTCATTTTTGAGCACCAGGGGTTTTGTAGCTTTAAGTGCAGGTCTTCCATTCTGTCTGCTCAACAGCCTAGAAACCTTCTCCTGAATCGCAGATCCGCTCATTGTCTTGCTATGATGCCTCCTCGAGAGACGGTAACTTTACAATAATTAAATAACTGAGAGAATCGCAGCCTTATAAAAGAACACTCCAAACGACACACTAAAATGTCATTGCTAAATACTTCACGTCCTCATGTGTACGTCGCCATTTTGTGCCATAAAGCGTTCTGTACCGTTGTTATGGTTACAGCTGCTGACACTGTCGTAAAAGTATGCTGAAAAGGATTTATTTTCATAGCTTCAGTCATTCAACTTAGCCATTCTTGTTATATAAACGTTAACGTAACTTAAGTTTTGTAAAACTAATTTTATTTATGCACTAATCAGGGTTAATTACACTTGGAATAGAGGTAAGTTGTAAATTCTAGTGCAGTTCAGAGTTGTTTTTGAAGGTGTTTGAACTCATAATTTATTAGAAACCATGTCTTAAATTCAGTAATATGCCAAGACCTGGTGGTGCAAACTGAAAAATTAACTAATTTACCTTTTAACAGGAACTGAGCATGTGTTTAATTGTAAACATGAGGACAGGATGCCTTCAGGCAATGCAGGTTTTCCAGTTAAAATTTTACTCAGGACATGGTTACACACTTAAGACACAGCGGGGTCCTGTGAGAGCACAAAACAAGCCAGAACAAACTTGATTAGCTGTTTTAAAGAAATAACCTGTAACCTAAAAACACGATTCATGGCCTCAATTTGCCAGAACTATATTAGACCATTACACTCTTTTCAAGTAAGTTCAGGGATTTTGTAGGTAAATGTAAAACTTTTTAGGATCAAGTAAAGAAAGCAATGGCTAGAAATTCAAACAGGTTTGCAACAAGGGGAGAGGGCTGAATTCTCATGAGTCATGGAAATCCTGGAATATCATGACATTTTAAATGGTCCTTTCCCAAAATTTCAAGTCTGGGAATATTTAAAGTTATGGAATATCAGGGTTTTAGCAAGATTGCCAAGAAGGTCGCAAGAAGGTTGCTGCTTCGAGCCTTGACTGGGTCAGTTGGCGTTTCTCTGTGGAGTTTGCATGTTCTCCCCATGTTTGCGTGGGTTTCCCCCGGGTGCTCTGGTTTCCCCCACAAGTCCAAAAAAACATGTGGTATATGCTGGATAAGTTGGTGGTGATTCCGCTGTGGCGACCTAGATTAATAAAGGGACTAAGCCGAAAAGAAAGGGTTTTGTTTGTCACTCAAAACTTTTGTTGCATAAATTCACATCTGTTGTAAGGCTACCATATCAGGATAATATAATTTTAAGCTGCTTTGGCTAAATATCTCCACTCAGGACTGGGGGCCCTGTATACACCCAGCGCGATAAGGTGCATCATGTGTTTGTTGCTATTTTCAGACCAGCGCAACTCTAATTTTCACGTTTTACGCGACGTTGTTTAGATAGCAAATCCATTTGCGCCACTTTGTGGACTCATGGAGGTTCTGGTCTAAAATAGAGATGTGTTTAGGTGCATTGTTGGCGCGTTGCTACATTGAAGAACTGAAATAGATTGTGCCATTGATCATCTAAAAGCAGGTCTAAAGTCTAGCGCAGAGTGCGTTAGTTATGTGCCTATGTGGGTTTAAATGTTTAGACAATGCTTAATACACTCAGGATGTACAGCAATACACAAATATGTTTACAAATGAAAAAAAAAGGATTAAAATGTTATAAAAAATATTACTTACTAGCTAAAAATACAGTATAAAAACCACTTCACTTTTTTCAGTTCACTCATGGAAATTTGCATTTGTGTAATGTTATTATTCATTGATTCATTCATTTTCTTGTCGGCTTAGTCCCTTTATTAATCCCGGGTCGCCACAGCGGAATGAACCGCCAACTTATCCAGCAAGTTTTTACGCAGCGGATGCCCTTCCAACCGCAACCCATCTCTGGGAAACATCCACACACACACATTCACACACACTCATACATCACTATATGGGGCATAAAAATAAGTGTGTTTGAATATAACTCAGGTTTCTGACCACATTTCATTATTATTGTTCATTTATTCATTTGCTGGAAATTAGAACTGAATTTAGAAATAGTTTTGAAACAATCTTGCGCTTACCAAGCGAAATTAATTATGTAGGCTAATGGATGTCTTCAGTGGAGTGCGTACAACACTGTTTCCTTACTCCACGAAAGTAAAGGAGTAAAAAGTTAAGAGGCCGAATGCAAGAGGCTCGCTCTTTATCCTGTTAGATTGTCCGCCAGGGCGCAGAGTGTGTTTTTTTGTCCTTAACATAGCAAAAGTGGATTCAAGAGTTCACACTTAGCTGATGATTGATAATAAAGCTTGTTTGATGTGGGAGAGAGCCCTGAGCTTATAAGATCCCCAAGCCCTGGGCTACCTCCCATTGCAAGGCGAGAGGGGAGTTTGAGCTTAGGTAGATCTTGATGACTCCCCCTCCTGCTTATTGAAGCTAAGTGTCAGATATGGATACTGAAAGGTGTACTCAGAGTTTAACTAAAATATTTTGGATTAATTGTTTGGAGTGCTTGTTTTTAAACTGTGGGAGGAAACCGGAGGACCCGGGGAAAACCCACGCAATCATGGGGAGAACAAGCAAAACTCCACACAGAAATGTTGCCTGGTTTGGAAAGGAATTATACCAGGGGATCCTCTGATAGGATAATTAGTCATTAGCTAAAGTTGGAACAGTTGTGAACAATCATAAGCACGTGATTCTCTCGAAATTTGTTTATAAACAGACTTCACTTCGGACACGCCCTTAATGCTTTTGCACCATGCGCTTTAGACTTTGCGCATAGATTGTTAAAATCAAGCCTACAGTGTTAAAAAAAAGTAGATGACAGAAAAACTTAATGTAAAGTTTATAAAACTAATATCAAGTTATCAAATAGGGAAGAAGGAATACTTCACAGCCACACAAACAGTAAATACTTCAAATTTATTTTAAAACCTAATGTAAATTATCCATTGTTGTGCTCAGTGGCTATTAAAGTCCTAAGCTTGAGCCATTCTAATATTATACAAAGCACAACAGCAGCCTGTGTTTCTGTTCAGATTGTTAGTCACTGAAAGTCAGCAAAAGTCAGTGAATTTGATTTTTGGCTTACAGCGGGACCCCTGGGGGAGGGGGAGTATGATGACAGAAATTTCTTTTTTGTGTGTGAACTATCCCTTTAAGACTTTCTGCTCTGATTTTAGACTTTCAAGGCATTAAATTATGGAAGAGTTTTTCTGACATTTTTTGAGATCTGCAGAAGGTAACCCTTTATTTTATTTATTTCCATGTTAAAACAAAGCAAAGCTTTCCCTCCATTCCCAGACAGTGAATTCAGATTAGACATTAAGTGAAACATTTTCACATAGATTTGACTGAATGTAACTCTACAGAAAGGCAATCCTGTTAATTGCTGCTTACATGGAAAGTACTTGAAATGACGTCACGTTTTTCACTCTAAATAAATACAGCTTATCAAACAGAAACTTTCATCATCTCATGAAACATCACCATCATCGGCTTTAGTTGTAAACATGCAAAAACAAACCTAGCATGCAGTAAATCAAACAAGTTATTTTGTTTATTTTTAAGAATGATTTTGATAAATTAGACAACTATAATTCATGCCTTGGTAGAAAAATAAAGACAACGATAAGGATGAGGCAATGCTTTTGTCCATATGTAAATATTTCTTATGCATACGAAGACAAGACAAATGTTTCCTCCCAGTGAGTATAACAGGGTAGTAAAGTACGTTTGACTTATTTCCATTTTTTCTCCCTCAAAATCTATTTCGATCATTTTTCACTTCTTGTTTCCTTCAGGGTATACAGTTGCAGCTGATAAACTCCATACGGCTCGCATACATTCCATTACACAGCAGCTTGAACTCAGATCTGCTCTGGTATTCTGACTGTGTCTCTGCTTGTTTGTAACTACCTTGAGTTTTTAGCCAGCTGGAATCATAAACCCGCTATTATGATTTTTACACATGCTTAGATTGGTAAATGTTCCTGGAATGTTGGGACTGTTTATAGATTGGAAAGTAAATTCCATTTCAGGATTTTAAATAACCATAGTAGCATATGGGCTGTGGAAATTAGGTGTCATTTAACATTTTATTAAAACAAATATGACTCTGGGGAATTTTGAAAAAGATTTCAGTTGCTGTGTATCAATTTTCATGTGTCAACAGAATATGTTAACATGGACAATACGTAAGAAACAAAGACTGGCCCTTCCTGAACTCTGACCTTTCTTGCTCCTGTTTGCTTGACTGAACTAAATTCAATGGCCTTTACACACAAAGTGTTCCAAGGAAGTTTTTTTCTGTTTCTTTTTGGTGAGGCTGCATTTTTACTCAAGCTCACAGTTATAAATCATTCCCTGAAACAACTTAGTTCAAGCTTCATTCAAAAACCTGACAAAGCAGCGTTTTTCGTTTTTGTGACTATGAACACACTGACAGTTGAGTTGTCTCAAGAAAAATCCCTTTGTTTTCAGAAAACTGAGTTGTCTATAACCTAAAAGAAGTCACTTTTTGTACTATGTATTGTTTACCAAAAACTTTAGATCTGTCACCATTTACAAAATTCGTTTTGTTTTAAACCCATAAAGTTTTATTTATTTTCAGAACATAAAATAAGTTCAATGACACCTAAGAGACCTGCTTTTTATGTTTTGGGCTTTAGAATGTTTAGAAAAACAATGTAAAATTAATATTATGACTCAGTTTGACTGATGCAAGTATTTTATCAGTGCCAAAACACATACAATTCTGTACAGATTTAAAATCTTCCACATATATGCATATTGAATTGACATGAATGCACATTTATTAAAACATAGACCATCCCGACAGGTGGGTTAAACATTTAACAGCCATTGAGTTGATCCGTATTTTACTAAAATTTGGTGAAACAGTATTTTTTTAGGTGTACTCACTCTTTTTCTTTAGGTTTATGCATTAATAATGCACTTGTGCACAATTTTATTTGGATTTTATCCATGTAGAAGTTAAATCAATGAATTATTTAATGATTTGATTAGCTTACATTAATGTTGTTTTTAATATTTGTTTTATTCTTGTGAATCACTTTTAGTTGCAATACATGTATACTGTATATAACAAATCTTCCTGTCTTCATTTTTTTGTTGAGTCAAATGAACTTCAACTTAAATCCGTCAAAC